GGGCAGGATAACTGCAGACACCTGATTACTACGTACAGACACCCAGATTACTATATGCAAACACTATATGCAGATACACGCATATAGGCCATTTCTTTAATCTATTATATATATTTATAAACATCTATATATATTGCAATATGCTAATTGTCTGTATAGCTAGCAATTTAGTATAAGGGGTAAAACTAATTATCTAAAGTCTTAGTTTCTTTAATACTAAGGCTCTCCTCCTGCCTAGCTTAGATTAATAATCTTTAAAAATAGGGGTTAATTCTATATAAGAATAGCTTAAATTATAATAGCTTACTCTTAATAAAAAAACTTTATATTTATTTTTTAATTATTTAATTTATTAAACTAAAAGTAGGGGGCTTTTTATAATAATTATAAACAATTATAATTATTATAATTATTTATAATTATAATAGTAAGCTAGGCTCAATAGGGCTAAGTTAATTTCTTAGAGCTAGGCTAAAAGAGGCTAATATAGTTAATAAAGATATAGAGCAGAGATAAGCACTAGTAAGAGTTAAATTAATAATAATAATAGCAATTAAAATTTCTAAATTAATATTAAAATTAAATATAATAAATATCTAGTTTTAAATATATTATTTATATATAATAAGTAATATAATAATTAATTATTAAATATTTATAAAATAATCCTTTAGAAATAAAATTAAAAAGTTATAGTTTCTATAGTTTAACTATTTAAACTTTAATTAATTAGTTTTATAGTATTTTTAAATATTATAAAAAGCTTTATACTATTTAGATAAATAAACTATTAATAGAACTATATTACTTAATAATTACTTTAAGCCTTTATTATTAGTTTCTATTTTTAATTACTTTATCTCTTTAATATTTCTTTAAAAGAATAAACTTATATTTTACCTTTTTTAGCTTACTAATATAATTAATTTAGTTCTTCTTCTCTTAAGATTATTAGTATAGAGGCGTTTTACCTATTATTTAATTAAATTACAGATCTTTAAGTAATTCATAACTTTTTAATAATAAGCTTAAAGTTCAACTTAATTTATTAGTTAGATTTATTATATATAGTAGTTCCTTGTCTACTTTTCTATTTATAACGCTTAACTTTAAATAGCTTTTAAAGTTATTACTTAATTAGTTTTTTAATTATAGCGGGATTATATAGTATAAAATACTATTATAGATAAATATATTTTAGATATAGTATATTATTATTAAATAGGAAGCTCTAAATCTTATATTTATAAAAAAGACTATAGATTTATTTATATATTCCTATATATCTATTTAAGACAATATATTTCTAAGTAATATTTCTAAGTAATATTTTTAAGTAATATATATATTAAGTTAATAGCTTAAGGGCTAATAATTCTAATAATATTTCTAAAAAAGCTATAGTTTTTTTGCTCTAGTAGTAATCTTACTTTTACCTTTTTATATATTATTTAAATATCTTTAAAATTATTTTAAAATATTTAGTTAATTGCTTTAATAATTTAAAGTATAGTATAGGTAGCTAAAAATAATTATAATTTTAATTTATTATAACTACCTTTATTAATAGATATAGTAGTATAATTAAAGTATAAACTCCTAGTAATATAAAAATAAATAACTTTCTCCTTTAAATTACTATAAAAGTAAATTTTATTTATATAGGAATAAAGAGGAGCTAGTTTATTAATTATTATAAATAGGCTTATAGGTTTTTTATTAAGCAACTCTTAATTTAAATAATTAAATTCTTATTTTAATAATACTTTTAATAATTCCCTCTATATAGTAAGCTAATTCTATTTATTTTTATCTTAAAAATTAAAAAAAAAGTAAAAGTTAATTTATAATTAAATATTCTTATATATATACTAGGAGCAGAGTATATACTTTTAATCTAGAAAAACAGTTTTAATAACGTTAATTATTACTTTAGCGGAATTAATAAGTAATATAATTTTAAAATAATATAAAAGATAATACTCTATAAAACTATTATTAATATACTTTTAAATATATAATATAATATAGAGGTCTATACCTCTGCTCTTATTAGTAATAAAGTTTTTTTAAATAATATTCTTCTTATTTATACTTTATTTTATATATTTAAAAACTTTTATTAAAGTTTTTTCCGTTTTATTCTTAATAAATATAAATATAATATAGAAAGTCTTATTCTAGCAGGTTATACCTATAATAATTTAAAAAGAATATTATATTTATTAGTTTTATAAATATTATTAATAAAGAAGATATAGCTTTAGACTTCTAATAGCTTAATAAATAAAGAGTAAATAAAGCTAAAGATATTAATACGATTTTGCTTATTATATTTAATAAAGTTAAGATCTTAAGTTTAAGCTTTAGAGAATATATTTTAGATTAATAGCTAATAGCGGCTTTTATCTATAATAAATTTTTTATATTTTAGTTCTAAATAATATAACAATAAATATATAACTATAAATATTATAGGATAATTATATTTATAATTAATAATAAAAAGGCGCTAGCTCTTATTAATCTATTTAATATAATTTCTTTATAAATATTTAATTATTTTATTTAATTTTATCCTTTTATAATTAATATCTAATATTATAATTTATATTTTTTATTAGTTTTATAGGATAAAACTTTCTTTTATATTATCTTTTCTTTATTTTTTCTACTTTTATTAATTTATAAAGTGAAACGTAACTTCTTAGTAATCTTATTAAAGTCTATATACAATAACTTAAAAATATAATAATCTTTTTTAATAAAAAGTAATAAAAGATTGTCTTTATTTTAATAAAAAGAGCAATAGCTTTTTATAGAAGTTAAAAAGGCTTTATTAAAATTAAGATTATTATTAGTAGACTTATTTAATAATATTTATAATAACATATTATTTTATATTAATAAGGGAAAGGATAGGAAATTAGCTATATATATTTTACTTTTATATATAGGATATAGCTTTAAAAGTAAAAAAAACTTAGAATAAATATTAAAAAAATTCTTTATACTAGCTTTATTAAATATATAATTAATTACTAAATTATTAGCTATTATTTAATATTATTATTATTTATAAAGGAATAAAGTAATTTAAGCTAAAAGAGGTAAAATTGAAAAGCAAGGCTAAATAAAAGTTTTTAAGCTCTAAAAATTATAATAAAAAAGGGGATTATTTAAATATAGGTTTAAATATAGATTATAAAAACCTATAAAGCTATAGAAGACAATAGGTATAGTACTTATAATTAGATTACTTTAAAGTGTCTATATATAGTAATTAAGGTGTCTGTATGTAGTAATGTGGTGTCTGCAGTTATCCTGCCCCCACCAATTTCTCATAAAATAAATCGCCACCATGAGCAAATCGTCAAACTTTCTAGGCTTCTTTGATGGCCTATCGGACGGAGGTTTGAATACGTCCAAGAGTTACTGCATCGCAAACAGCACACGCGCATAAATGACAAGTTTCTCGCTTCTGGACCACCCTATCCCCTGGACCTTTGCTGGCATCTCGAAATTTTACTCCTACCCCACCCCCAACTCTTCGGCGAGAGTTATGAGTTGCAATCCTTTAGCAGTTTCCTTCACTTTGGGTCACGATTAAAGGAACTCAAATTACACATGGACAATCAGAAGCCCAGCGGCTAATATCAGGTATGGCGAGACAAGCCTGACAGGTTGTAGTACGTGATGTTCTGGGCGGTCTTGGCCTTTGGAATGATCAGTGTCATCTGAGCTTTGGATGTCTCGTGATAGGGAGTGCACAGACAACGGCGGCTTTTGAGGCTTTCAAACGCCCTAGAGGAGAATGATATATTACTAGCAAGGAGTGAAGAGTGCCAGGGCCTTAGAGCATTTTTTGGCTATCATGAGCCTAGGTCGCACAACAGTTCCCCAAGTTTGTCGATGCCCTCCTTTATGAGCCCTTACTGTTACGTTTGCACCTTTGTACGATAAGCATTCATTAGGATGACGTTTCGCGACGACTTGTTAATACTGAGTTGGATTCACGTGGGTGGACCGTCCCCACTATCGTTTTCTTTGGGTATTTTGCTCCATAGACAGCCGTTGAAATCAATAGACACAACTTACGATGAGACAAGCGACGATCACAAGACAGAGTACTCTTCACTGATAAGTATGAAGCCCAAACAGAAATCCCAACCACTGGCATACGTCCTTTAACAACGAGGTTTTCTCGGCAAAATCGAAAGAGACTATATAATACCATGAATCCTGGTCGACACCCAGAGATGGCAAGCTGTAACCACCTACGCTTAGTTTGGGAGACATTGTTGCTCCGCGCCGAAACCAGTACCACAAAATACCATGCGTTTGCCTATTGATTTGATGTTAACTTCTTTGTTAACTCATGATCCAGCAACGAAATCATCACCTTTGGCTATCTCCAGGCTCTAAAAAGTAGACTTCGACAAGTGATCATCATCGCCCATGACATAGTAAGGTTCTATTTTTGGCTTAGAAGAAGGTTCAAGCGCGTATACGATTTGAGACACAGCGTGCAGCGGCTTGCCCCTACGATCTTGCCGCGAACTCAATGCGCCGCTCATGTAGCCTCTTACTCGTTTGTAGGGGATGAGCTCTACATCATGGCCCCTTCCATGGTGTTTGACAAATCGGATATCTCAAAGTTTTCCCCACAGCTACCATGACGACTCTTGGCAATCAATGCTTCTGTCATTGTTGACCCTGTCGGGTCGTGAGACAAATACGTTTCGAATTGCTCCGTCCGTGCATTATATTGTGTACTATTGTGTACTAGTGGTGGTCCCTCTCCGCTCTATGAAACTGTCGCTCCTTAGCAATCTTCTTTGTCTCCAGATTCTCGGAACATGGCATTCACCAGGTGGAATACACAGTCTAGACAACAGAAAGTGGCCAGTGCATGTCCTTGTAGTCTCAATGGGCCATTGGCGCAATCCTGTTTGCACTGATACTTGTGTCACTCGTCTTACATCAAGCCTGTGATTACCATGAAGCCTTCGCTGGTGACCTTGGGGGTGCTTTTGTTCAATCGCATCTCAGCCAGGTCTGTCGCAAGGCCACAGCTTTTCAACTCGGGCTTTCATCTTAGTGAGGGGGCAAACGCACAGGAGTCCTCGGATCCATCAGGCGTCAGCCGGCCGACACAAACAAGTTCTGCAGCTGCCGGCAGCCAGTCTGGCCAGACAGTAACGTTGTGCTTGAACACATCTCCAAGTGTGGGGGACGAAGTATCAAGCATTACAGGATTTAACTCTTGTAACGAGAGTGGTACAGAGAGTCAAGGAGCTTCAAGTAGCGTAGCGGCGCAATCTACAGGGGTGCAACCTGTCTACATTCCATCGACAGCCACACAACCGTCAAACGCTGGACACACCGGAAGCACTGACGGCACAGGAGATAACACCTGGGGAGGCAGCACAGCCGGAGGAGTTGGAAGCAATGAAGGTACCAACACGTCAGGCACCACCTGCACAACTAGCGGAAATGGAACATCCCAGGCAAGTATCTCCTGTAGCAACACAAACTCTGGCGGCTCTTCCAGCACCTCCCATAATAGCTCCACCCAAACTACCAGTACCATCTCAAGCAACAGCAATTGGAACAATGGTTTTGGTACCCCACCTTTACCCGGCCAGCCCGATCTCATCGGCTCAGACGTCTGCGGCAATGGAGGCTGCAAGAGCCAGGACGAGTACTGCGCCGCTATCCAACGGAACGGGAAAACGGATCCCGTATGTGAAGGAAGTGGTACTGGAGGAGGAGGTGCGTCGCCATCGACTGGGGCAGGGAGCGTGCCGTCGAGTGTGCCAACAAATGTGGTGGGATCTCAAGGTGGAAATGGAACCGGCTATGGCTCAGGGACCGGAAGCGGCGGAGTGGGTGTGGGTGGAGGAAGTGGTAGTAGTGGGCGTGGGCGCAATGGAGGTTATGGTACTGATTATAGTGGTCAGACGGACTACATTGGTTCAGATGTATGCGGTAATGGAGGGTGCCAGAGTCAAGCGCAGTATTGTGCTGCTGTTCAGAGGAACGGACAGAGCGATCCGAAATGCGGTGGATGAGGGACTAAATCTGGATCTAGTGCTGCGAATGTCGTTTCAACGACCGGCATGGCAGCATCAGGTAGGGGCTCTGGAAGAGGGTATGATGATAGTGCTTCATGGACATAGCGTGTCCGGGATGCATTGGGTACGTCATAACCAGTCTTGATTGTCTGTTGAGAGATAGATGCGACTAATACCCTTACCAACTAATTACACAACTTTGAGCTAAGCTATGAGTATATGTACTAAGCAGCAGACCATGTGAACGACCAGTCATTACTAGCATCTCATGAAATTTCAATAGCGGCCTACAAATCCGCCAGTACTAGTGTGAGCGGTTCCAGTTCCCGAAGATAATACTGCTCTCGATCAGTGAACCAAATCAAGCTTTAACCCTTATGTGTCCTCGCTCATTCAAGCTGACTCTCTCCTCCTGCATATCCACCATCCTATCCTTGACTAGCCACACCTCCAATTGCTTGCTGCTGATTATGACAGTTTTGCTACTCATTACCAACCTACTGCCTAGTCCCTGCACAGACTCCACCTATTTCACCATTAATTTACTCTTCGGTGCCTCCGTTACCAGCTTTGCCTCCAGTGGGTTGGGAAATAGGGATCGTGGGATGGAAGGAGAGACCCTTGGGGCTATTCCCCGTAAGCAACAGCTTAACAGTGATGGAGTACATTCGCTATGAGGAGCTGCTAGATTCCTGCTTTGTGCTTAGACCCAAAACATAACACAAACTCGAATCATCTATTCTAATCTTAACTTTATCAAAGTTTCTTTCCAGACCTAAACGCTTAATACAACTTTTCAAATCAGTCGCATCATCAGTCCCGGACTCCGTCGACGATACCGTGGGCATTACGGAAAGTTCTTGAACTTAATATGAGATTTCGTTTATTTCTATATGGCTTTAAGACACGTTCTTCATAGCCATATTAGTATGCTCTCACAATAAACATGACTGCAATTAGTAAAAATGCAATGCTTGGTGTCTCTCGCGATTCCGCCAGTTGATACCCAACCGAGAGTCGCTCTCTGCAATGGTGCCGCTGGCCGTGGACAAACCAAACACAAAAGAACTTAGAGTGAGTATTGAGAGAGACTAATAGATATTGTGTGACTGGATTTGGGGGAAATCTATGAGCCACTTGTAGAGATAAACCGAAAAAAAACAGCCCGCGCAATATGCAACTCTTCATGGTAATAGAGGCAACCATCCCGTCGCGCTACTTCAAGGCATCAAAACCTCTTACCGTGTTTATTTACTTGCTACTACTTTGCAGTATCGATGGCGCTTTGTCCTCTGACATCGTAGATTGGTTATGTCTTCTCAGCAGTGTCGCACAGCCAACCATTGTTGATTATAAGTTCTTGTACGCTTGGCTTTCTACAGTCATGTTACTCCCCACCATTCGAGTACAACGAATCATTTTAAAGAACCCATTAGAAAGTGTTTAGTACAGGTCTTCCTTATGCTGATATGTCTTTAAACACCCAGATTGCTATCCATTAGAAAAATTCGTCTTCCATTTCCTTAGACCCCCTTCCTGGAATAAGAATGATGCATGCAGCACGCCATGATGGCAAGATCGCCTTTTTACACATCTGGTTCAAGTCATACTCTGCCATGCCATTTGACCGACACCAAAAGCCTATGTTCTCTTGGGCTCAGCTCATCGATCTTCTTTAACAGCATTTGAAATGCTGAGATTATCATTCTTGAAGCAGTCGTCTGCAATGAAATCGAAAGGTTGTAACGCTTCATGCACATTGAATGATAGTCTCAGCAAAGATGAAATCTACCTGACGGTTGATCAACAAAACGCTGCCCTTAGCAATAAGCCAAATGCATGGGCGTCCATGGCTTCTTGGTTCCACACAGAGGCTCTCGAGCTTAGCATTCTTCACCCTCAGCTAGATCACTTCCAAAAGCGTGTTCACTATCGATGTGCTGCCGCGATTCGAGCTCAATTTGAAATTAGAAGACAAGAGAGCGAGCGAATCAAGCGTGCCTTCCTCAACTTCCAGACATAGTTTAACCTTTTCAGCCTGCATAGAGCCCTCGATGGGGCAAGGTCAGGGTTTCATGCGAGGAGTCGAGGCTTTTTTGATAAACTTGCCGCTTGGAAAAAGGAGCAAGTCGCTTCAATCTACGAATTGCGCCTCGACCTCCTCAATTAATGACGGAGATTTTGACCTCTTGCTCCCTACAAACGCATCAAATCCGGTAAGAACCCACGAAGACGAAATTGGGATCAATGATTTACGAAGCTCGGCGATATGCAAGAAGTCTTGCATTTGAAGAAATACTTGCAGCTATCTCGAGGTCTCCCTCTCCTTGCTCAAGTGGACCACGGCGAAAGCCACGAACAGCGTCATACTCTCTTCGCTCGCATAAGTCATGTAGACTGGGACCCAACACCGATACTCAGAAATTCTGTATCCCTAAGCAGCATTCTTAGTCTACCAACTTCTTTCCCCCCTTCCACAAAACTCGCATTCAAGGGTCGCTAGCATCCTTGCCATCTAGCGCAGAAATCAGACCATCCTTACTTACCCCTGACGTACGTTCGGGGCGCAGCGTTCCTCTCAATAAGGTAGTAGAAGCGAGGTGCTATAATTTATAAAGGGAGTCTGTGAGGTAGGTCTGTGCCATGCACGTGGAACAGAGGTTGACATCGATGTAGCTGGACCCTGCTCATATGGTCTAGATCTTCATGATCCTAGGCGAACCGAGCCCACAACTGTGTAAGCGAGTGTCATGTTCTGACATTAACGGACTTCGGTTTCAGCCGTGCCTCAGCCTTCTTTACAGATATCTGATATCACGCTAGCCCAACCACTGTGCCGCATGATTCGACTACCACACAAGGAAATGGCTGCGACCACTCGGCGCCTAGGGAACTTGATGTAAACTGACTCCAACATTTGTCAAGCATCGCGTACATTACAACCTCGTCTTCAACGTGTCTCAGAAATGAGGACGATGGATAGCAGACTTGCTTCGCCTCCCACGTCCTCGCTTGCTCACAGAGGTAGTGTAATGTAGCTATGGTGCGACGAGGAAAGCGTTAGGGATTAAGTCTGTGGTCTCGAATGATCCTGTAACTTTAATGCTTCAAATCAATATGTAAAGACCTTCATTCTCTATCAAAAAATCTTGCGCCGTGGGATCACTTTGTGTATCCCTCAGATATTGTTAATCATTAGACGACCAAGATTCGTAATTGAAGCCTAATCTCGCCTACGGCAAAGCTTTCATCTTTTCCGAGATACAAGGAACATTAGGTTCACGTTATACCATGCGTCTTGGTTGCATCAGCGCTCAGGCGCTTCTTGTCTTGTCCTTCGTTGTTCCCAGTGCTGTCAGCGCTCCAGCGGACGTCGACGCATTCGGACGTACGTCTATCCACATTAGGTTCTATGCGAGGCAAAAGGCTAACGGGCAAACTAGGGCGAGATGGGGCGGATGTATATTTATATGATTTAGTTGGCCGCGACACTGCGGATGAAGGTAGTTGGATGTCCCTATGTCGAATTATTCTAGTGAGGCTCACCAAAAACCATTAGCAAATGAAACTTCAGTCACTTCTACTACTACATCAGCCAGTGGTGCAGCAACACTAGCGCCGCAGGACGATTTATCGAAAGCCACGGCCAAACCGCCAGATTTCGATGATTTCAAAGATTTCTTCACTAACAAGGACAACAATATCAAACGTCACATGCTAGTTTTCTGGTCCGGTACCGGTATCGACGACCCGCAAACGTTTGCCGGAAGACAAGACAGGTTCACGCTTGAAATGATCGTAGGCACAAAATGGAAACAGTACCAAACTGACAAAGCACACGGTGGCTATTGGAAAACCTGGTACGATTGTGTTGATGGATTCTGGACTCCGGCCTCCGACGCTCTTTCCAGTGTAGCGACAGGGGACGTTGCTGTCATTCTAAGCGCAGACGCTGATTACTTGCAACAGCAAGAAGATCCCACGCATGCTACTTGCCCGACCTGCTGGTACAACACTGAGAAGCCAAACCTAATACACAATCTTCTTAAAGGATCGGTCGCTGGTATCTTTAAATATCATACGCCGTTGCCCGCGAAATATATCGGCAAAATAACCAGCATGGGAGACAAGTTATAGCTTGGCCTCCAAAGATGATGTCAACAATGAGTACTTTTCCAGCCTCAAGACATAAGCATTTTCTCCGATTGCACTGCAAGATGATGGACACCTTACTTGAGATTTTTCGTGAATTCAACACATGCGGCTTTAGCTAATATAGAGCCTACTATGATCCAACATCGTAGAGCCGAAAGTGGAATATCGGAGGGAATTCTGATTTCAATGTATTGGTAAAGCACTGTTTTTAAAGTCATATCTCCATAATTCAAAACACTTGGTTCCAGGAGCGCGGCGACTCTGTCGAGATTGCTCATAAAGAGGGCCTGGAGGTTGTGGTCTTTCTAAACATATGGGCAAGGGTAAAGCAGTCAAACATTGAAGCCCATGTTTCTCGATAGCCTTGTGTAATCATTAAAGACTCAAACATTCAACTCGCAAAAGCCATAGTTCCGAGGCGTAAATCTGCTCCAAACAACCTTTACACATTCATAATCCATTCTCATGCTGCCTCAAAACCTCCAAAATCGCAGCCTCACCCATATTCGCTGCGATTTGTCGAGGGGTCAACCCTTCCCCATCGACAACATCGAGCCTAGCTCCACGAGACAGCAGGAACTGTATCATCTCCACCTTCGACACCTGCCTCTCACAGATCAACTCGCTATCTTTCACCGCGAAGTGAAGTGCACAGCCCATCACCTGATCCTCGCCTTTCACCCAATCGTATCGAGTGAAGACCTCATTAACGTCCGCGCCACTCTCAAGCAGAATCCCAGCGTTGCGAAGCTGCCCCGCCTCAGCCGCCTGCCGTAGCGCCTGTGAACCCTCTAGCCTCGCTCCGTGCTGGAGCAACAATTTCAGCATGTCAGAGGAAGGTTTCCGTGCCGCTTCACCAAGGTAGGTGTCTTCCGGTTGGATGTAGCGTCCCGTGGGCTTAGCGCCCTGCTCGAGCAAGAATCTGGCCAGGTTCACGTGGTTGTGTGAGATGGCTTGCGCCATGATGTTGATCGCTCGATCCAGGTTGTGGTCGGGTTTCATGCCGTGCTCGAAGAAGAATTTGAAGACTTCCAGGGGCTCTTCTGCCATTAGAGCCTCGTGGATGATACCGTCTTCGTAGATGCGCCACTGGCGAGGGATGGAGTTGAAATAGACGCCGGGCGGAATACGAGGATTCCACGGGTGGTGAGGCGGTTGATGGTTTTCGGGCGGAAGTAGGCTCCAGATTGCTCGAACTGTTTCGGCTTGGCCAGTGCGGGCAGCCACTTGCAGCAGAAATTGAGGCGATGGGACGGAAGCTGGAGGCGCTTTTTGGTATTGAGGAAACAGAGTCTGAAGTCTGGAGACGTTTCCTGTCTTACAGGCCTCGATGAGATCGCTTGCCAGGGCTTGATTTAATTGACCTGCATTTTGATAAGTTGTTACGTTGAATCTACTTGCAGAGAGATCAAGGTCGTTACCCGAATCATTCATCTTGCTAACTCTGCACGTAATCACCGCTAGAAATGTCGTTTGGTCTTGTATGTGATAGAGTTATGCTCTTCCGCGACTTGTTATTCGAAAATAATGGCCTCTTGAGGAAAGCAGAGATTTAGCCTTATCAATGAGTATCACAGGCCGTTGTGCATAGAATACAATGACAAGCATCCGAAAAGCGAATAGTATTTGTAGTACGAGGAGTAAGGCTCCTGCTACGCCACCCTACGCAAGTGGCACAGTCCAATGTACGACATGAAACTAGCAAATTGTCCTACCTCTCTGGATTTACCTTTCTCCAGCTCTCATCCCTTGCCGTGTACGTTTGCATGACAATCTTACAGTGATGTGTAGGAATCTTTCGGTGAGTAGGAATTTTGTTTCCGACCGTGCGAACACGACTCGAGATATTCCAGTCGCTAGAGATATCGAAAATGCTCCAGACGGGCTGGCTAGTACTTATTGCAGAGCTAGGTACGGAACACTACCTTAGATTTAGATCGTGCTCCAAATCCTCGTCTGTCTGTGGGGATCAGGGAGGCTTAAATGCCATGTTATATTTGCGAGAAGCCGAGTCTATTCCACAACCGCCGACTGTAAGGTGAAGATGTCAGGACAACAATTTAATGCCTAGCATTGCAAGATTCTTAATGCTCTTTGATTGAAGGCTTGCTTGTCAAAGAGTCTTGACTCCCAATCACCTTGCTGGATTCTCTTTTCGCACCCTATTCTCTGATCTTGGATCGCCGACTCTCCTTTCTTGCCCACTGAGCTTTCGTCCAGAGCCATGAAGACTTCTGGTCTACTAATTCCAAATCGTCCTCCAGTCAGCTGCATTTGAGATCATTACATATCGTAGCCCTTTCTCTAAATAACACTTGCCCCAATAGTACTTTAAAGCCTGTTTGAGATTGCTTAATGATACAGCCACACTGAGCGCATTGCTCGAAGCATTTTCTGATTCTGAAAGTTCAAACTCCTTCTCTATACTTCCTCAAAGACCAACAGGCAACATCCCGGCTGTTTGAGTGAGACCAAGCCAGCTATTGTTTCAGCGGCTATTTACAAGACACTAACCGAAACATCTGTGTGTCTATCAAGAACCACTCCCATCATTAAACAGACTTCAACCCAAGCGCGCTGTAGAAGGCTATTCTTAGAACAAGAGAATTCTCCATGCGCAGACCCACAGCCTGCCGTCTTCAAGTGGTACCTAAGATGATGTTCTCCAGACTTTGCCTTATAAGCGTCAGCCGGCTGCCATACTTCATCACAATGGCAGAGAAGGAATCCTGAAGAATATGCAGCTCCGGCTATGGCTGTGGTGGCTTTTGGCCTGTGGGACCGGCGTAATTTGTAACTTTATTGGGGACGCGGCGAACAATACCACTACCTTATTACGGCAAGTCAAGATGAACAATTTCGCACGCACCTGCTGACCCCCTGAAGACCCCAAGTACAAGAGGGCTGGACGTCATGGACCGCAGTGAATACGTAAATTCTCCTCCCTGCTCTGCCCCGTCTCGCATAACGCTTACAGCACACAGCACATCTCCCCTCACGGAAGAACCCCCCGACAGTTTCACAACCGATGTTGAGTTCAAAGAGGGCGGCAAGATCCTAAGCAAGTACGACACATGGCTCGCAATAATCGGCTGCCTAGCAGAGGAAGCAATCCGGGACTGGAACGCACCGCGAATCCTAGTCGACACCTCGAATCGAGGGGTCGCGATCAAGCTCGTCCGGAACAGGATGGCAGTCGACCCGCCCTTGCTCGTCAAGCATGTGATGTGGTCTCTGGTTATCGTTGTGTCGCAATTCTGGGAGGAACAGAATCCGCCACTTTATGCAGAGACGACGTTTAAGCCGCAGCTCAGTGGGCAGGATCTGGGGCTCGGACAGGTCCTTTCGTTATATGCTGATACGCTGAACTCTACATCTGAGCGTGAAGGGTCGGGAGCAGATGCGCAGAACTTGACAATTCCGGGTCATGATAAGGTCAAGATCGATTTCGATCCGGACCTCAAATCTCCGGCGCTGTGCACGGCGGTGGAGTTTTACCTCATCATTATGCAAGCGATTACTCAGCTCGGTCCAAGGGATAAAGAGGCTTATATGCCTGGACTTCGGTTTTATGATCGCGAGAAAGATTTCACCTTCCAGATTGGGTCTTCTACGGAACAGGATGATCTCAAGCAGTATATGCTTGTGTCTGCGCTGAGTTTCCTGGCGGAGGTCATGTATGATCAGCCGCAAAATGAGAGGTTCCGGCCCTTTGGTGGGAAAGTGCGATGGAATGGTTATGTGGTGGCGTTCCTGAGCTTCGAGAAGGGTAGATTGCCTGACCCTACTGTGGTCTCTGATCAGAGGGTTTCCTCTGCACTTCCTGCTGAGTCAGCGAGTAGTAAAACTGCCATGCCAACATTGCCGACATTGGTATCATACCCCGGGTCGACTTCTTGATGACAAGCCTGGACGTGGCTGAATCGAAAGGGTTTTGAGGTCTGGTTAACTGTGTGGTCTAAAAATTGGTGAGAGGAACCTCATACATTCCTGGCCAAGGGACACGGCATTATCTCTATTGAAGAACAGCGATCACAACGGAAGCCTGGTCTGGATGCGCACATCTCTGTCCACGTGGAGAGCTTGACGCTCCGGGTTGGGTGGAAAGCGAAGAGACTGTTCTCGCCGTAGTGTCGTAAACGGGCGAAGATATAGTAAGCTTGCTAGCGTTTGCAGCTGACGCTACTCCAAAGACTCACCAATTTCTAATCGAACGATGGTTCACTGTACTCAATTGATTCAGCAATCACTCCATCTAAAGCGTGTGAGTTGTCGAGCTTCTCATTCTCAGTAGTACTATCTTCTCTAGACAATTTCCAACTTGAGCAACAATGCCTTTGCTAGCGATGGGTTTCATGAGTCCAAAATTTCGGCGAGCTTGCAGCCTCTTTTGGGTGTGTGACATGTCGGTGAAGACGCCCGTGTAGGGTTCCTTGGAAGATGAGGGACGGGATTGAGCCTCTGCATTCTCTCTGCTGCAGTCTGAACGCCAGCGCACTCGACCCATTCAGGCAACGAGACCTAAAGCAACGTTCTTCACGTGACTAGGCTATAGAAGTGCAGAGCGAGTTCAACAAACAGCACCACTTGGGCCGCCTATTATACTCTCCCTAACCGTCTGCACGATCAAGTAGTGTAAGAAAAGGTTTCTCAGCTCCGAGAGCTCTTTCGCAATCGTCACCCATCATACAACACCACATCAGCGCATCCCCTCCGGCCTTCGCGACAAGGACCTTTGGTCTTCACGACGATGAATAGGCACAGATGCTGCCAATGCGCATTGCCCTTCTCTTGCACATGTCACTCTCTTGCATATACCCCAACCTTAATATTCTGGCTAGCATCCGCCATCCACACCGCCATCCTCCATTTCATCATCATCCCCGCCCACCACCTCGCCCTGGTCGCCGTGCTCTCCCTCCTCCTTATTAATACCTGCCGGGTTCTTCGTCCGCACCGCGAGATCTCTCGCCTGCCCCTCCGTTTCTGCAGTTTCCCAGTCAGCTTCTTCGATACCTTAAACCCGTTTCGCAGTACATACTTAGACCATGGCGGACACCCATCCAATAAGCACGCCTCACTTCGGAATCCCCAAGCGGGGTATCCAGCTGTGTATCCACCGACCATGTCGTCGCCCCATCACCGGTATCTTCCTCGACTGCCCTATGCGTCCCCAAAATGGCTGCAAGACTCGTATGTGGAGGGGATTGCTGCCTTTCGTGATCAAGATGCGTGCTTAATCCGGTCTGAGTATTCGGGAAGGGGGTGTATGGTGCAGATGTGGTGGTGACTTGTGGAGAAGGGGCGGAGGGCGCGGGGAGGGAGGATCCTGGCATGGGCCTGAAAGGGAGGGATATGGTATTAGAGGGGGCTGTACTCGTGTCAGAGTCAGTTACTACTGTGCTCAGTTGGTCGGTAGCCCTCGCAGCGCAGCACATTGATTGAAGGAGGGGGGGTTGGAGGGGGTCATAGGAGCTCGACAGACATACCAGCTGCAGCAGCGGCTTCAGCCTCCTTCTGAGCCTTCTTGTTCCGCTTGTCGATTTCTGAAGGGTGTCAGCATCACGTTTCTGGGACGGAGGATGCCTTCGCAGTACTCTGTTGCCGCCTGTTCATTTTTCGCTTCTCACGAGATTTCAATCTTCGAGCTTCATTGTTGGCTTTCTTCTCCTGAGGAGTAAGCTTTCTGTATGCCATGGTTGGCTCAGGTCTAGGGATATTGTTTTATACTCGGTCTCAAGAGATGGGAAGCGTAATGGTTGTTGTAATAGTGGTTATGGTGAGCAAGGAGATGGTTGTACAACCTCAGAAATAATGCGACCAAGGAAATTGAAGACCCCGCACGCAATCTTGGACTACCACAAAGTGAATGTGTTAATACCCAATGAGGCAATCCCACTTTCGCCACCTCGCCACCGGTACTTGCACCAGCGACACAGAAAGTCATGGGATGACAAGCGAAAGCAGACGGATGGCGTACGTTAGGCCCCTTAGAATACTTACTACTCCAACCACTCCCTCCTCATTCCCCCCACAAACGCCGCGTCCACATTAACAAAACTCCTCGCCAAATCAACCTCCAACCTCCACGGATCCGTAGTAACCGCAAACGCCAACGCGACGCTCAACTGCTCCAACTCCTCCTCACTCTCCGCACACAATAGGAACAGATTCCGCCTCAACAACAAATTCCCCTCCTCACCTTCCCCCTCAGTAAAGATCTTACCCGGCTGCCCTCTCTGCTGCGCTCTATTCTTCACCAGAAAAGGCTCGATGCGCAGCCAGGCAGAATGGTGCATACTCCACTCACTCCGTGGCATATCGCAGGGCACGAACTTCCACTCCCACGCGCGGCCGACGCAGTCCGTGAACGCGTGGGTGATGCGCTTGTCCGGGCCGATCATGAGGGGGTAGAAATGCTGGGGCTGCCAGAGCCGCAGCAGCGTGAATCTTGCCTTCCCACCCCCAGCCCCATGCGAGTGCGCAAAGGTTTGGACTTTCTTCAGCAGCGCGTCAACGGAGGGGGATCTTTGAAGGAGGGCGGGAAGATCAGGGAGCCGTCTGCGTTAGCGCGATAGTCGACGAAGAGGTCGAGAGGGGCGTTGGGGGTTTTGGGGTCGTGCGCAGAGAAGACTTGCCCTGGGACGTGGTTTGCGGCGCACGGGGAGATGATGCCTGCTTTGAAGAGACGGGCGAGAATGGGCCGTGTCGCATTATCCCACGAGCGGGGAAATTCGTCCCAGACGTTTGTGAAGGCTTTCTGCTCAGGCAGGTCGAGGGCGTCGAGTTCGGAGAAAAACGACTTTGGCCGATCCTTCATGCTGGAGGTGCTGCGACTGGCGGCTGGAGTTTGCTGTGCTCGTGCTGCCTGGTCTAGAAGCTGGGAGGTGAAGGTGAACGGTTGGGTTTTGGGGCCATTGGGCTTGTGAGGGAAGAATGGTGTTATCAGGGCGCGGGCGTCGACCATGTCAGCACACATCCGCCGATGTCGTTCTGGATGGACATTGACGAAACGAAGATCGGCAAATTGCTTGAAAGGGTTCTTTTTCAAGTTATAGCGTTTAGCTGCCGCTACAAGTCTAGCCTGCTCTCGCCGGCGGTCATCTGCTCCAGGGGTGAGATCAGCTCGGTGCCATGATAGCTTCATGGGCTTAGATTTTTCTCTGTCGATGAAGTTCATGAATTCAGCACGTGTATCTGTGTAGTCGTGAGTACTTTTCCAGCCTTTAGTCGCGAGTACATCGCGTCTCATTTCATCAGATAATTTGTCCAGAGCCTTGGACTTGAACTTGTCACCAAGAGGCGTGTAATTTCCGTCTCTCGCCTTAGTAAACAGTCGGAGCGCTGGATCGTTTCGAGCGATGCTAGTTACAACGAGCTCATCATCAGATCCAGAGATAGATTCAGATTCCTCACTTGAGCTTTTTTCTACATCATTCACCCTGAGGTGCTGTTTAGGACCATCTATCAGGTGATTATCATGGTCCTCATCCTCCCATTCCTCGTCTGAATCAGTGCACATCTCTTCATCGGTGCTCAAATCATTGACGAAACGGCTCCAATCGGGGAAGTTGCTGAGAAATCGGTCAACAGCATTACCCTTGAACGCCGCGGCGCCCTTTTGATCATCTGGAAAGAGTACTTGGTCCTCCAAGGCGTCTGCTTCCTGGTAGAATGAGCTCGTATGTTGATCTTCAGCCAATCCGTCTGGTTGATTCGGGTCGATGAAGGAGAATGATGCTTCCATGGATTCATCCCAAATGCTCGGTATGGTCTCGTCAGGTCTGATGTCACGTATTCGCTTCGTTTGTGGATCTCGAGTAATGCTTTTCAAGATATGCTGCGAATGATTCAACGAGTCTTTGAGACTGCAACATCTGAGCGCTTTGAGAAAAGCCTGGTAAAGGTCAGTGAACGTTCAAAAGCTGGAGATAAAGCACATACGGTGACGATAGTGCCATAGAGATGATTGGCATCGTGAGCAGGCACAAGGTCCCATACGTAAACACCATAGTAGTCATTAAACCCAAATCGCCATTCGCGGACCGAGTCCATGCGGTCGAAGAAGTTTGCATCAACTTGCTCGATGATGTCCCATGAATTCTTTGTAGCTCTTCCTAGGCCATGCTTCGAGCGACCGAGCCAGCGATTGTCAGTCTCGTCTTCTGAATCGCTTGGTGGTGGCTTATACAGCACTTTGCCTGACTTGGCGTCTCGTATGAGGCAAAGAACGCTGTCTGTCTGCAAAGTCAGGTATTGCAAGAATCTACGACTGGCTGGATCGTCGCGGTTGACATGGCCACACATGAAGTTCCGCATTTCGACAACTGCATGCTGGCGCCGGAATTGCTGATTGCGAGAGCCTGACTGATAGCTGCTAGAGTGTTCCAAGGCGTCTGCGAAGGTGTAATATGGGATAAAACCCTACACGAAGTCAGCAAGCCAAAGATGTGAATGACACGACGCGTACAAGAGTCAAGAACTGTTGGCGCATGATATCGCCTTTCCATCGAGACCAGTTGGCAGCGGGAAAATACTGATACACGGACAGAATGTTGAGCTCCCAGAACTCATCCCAATGTCGACAGAGCTTGATCGCGTCATTCAAATCACTGTCTTTAGCAATGATGCAGAAATGGAGCCAACCACCACGACTGACAGCCTTCTCGCTTGGGTAATTGTATATGTATTTCCCACAAATCTTCACCCGAATGTTGCGGGATCTAAATTTGCCAGTATCATCCAGATCACCAAAATCAATCATTTCAGTACCAATATCAGCCTTCATGCTCTCTTTGTTCATCCGACTAATGGCCCTTTCTCTCCCTTCTTGTATCTGCTTTTCAGATTCCGAAGACCATTTTTCACGGCCTTTGATGTTTCTGCGCAGGCCCATAGCCTTTTCTCTCCTACTCTGTTTAGCACGGGCTTCTTCATCACTACCATACTCTGTCTCTGCTACTGCCGAATCCTCATCTCCTTCCTCTGCACCTCTTGTGAGATCTGCGCAAGCATCTCGCACCTCCTGCAGGTTTGGCTTGTCCATTTTGAGGCAGAGGTCTCTCAAGTCAGTCTCTGAGACTTCAGGGTCGCTCAAGAATTCGTCCACGCTGCCAGCCTTTATAGCCGCGGGTAAAATGGCGGCGTGGGCGAGCAGCAGTCTGCAAAATAGGAGCGTTTGGATCTCGGGGATATCCTTGAGGATATCCTCAATTTCTCCATCGGCGAAGGGCGCGATCTTGCCCCTCAGCTCTATAGGATTTCCAATAGTGCCCGCAACTTGGAGTCCGTCTACAGGCGCCAGTTTTCCTCCCTCTTTCAATCGCGTCTTGATCTCATCAAGTGTCTCATGATTCGACTTGTCTAGCGGTCGGACATCAGAGCCAGGCTCGGCAGCCTTCTTCTTTTTCTTCTTCTTTTTCGATGTATTGCGGCCAGCTGGTTGAGGTTGAGGCTCTTCTGATGGCTGAGGGTAAGGTGTAGCCTCGCCGTTCAAATGCATAGTTTGTATATTCTCAAGCAGGCTTCCATTTGTGGCAAGCGCTGGATCTTCTTTGGAGAGGAAGAGGAAATGCCTTATCAAGTCCACAAAATTTTGTCTCTCGTCTTCCATCACATCTTCTATCGGATCCCATTCTGCCTCTTGCGCCTCTTTCTCCATCTCTGACATGCGGTCCTGGTAGGCCTCGTCTAGGGCCGTCTCCTGCTTCTGTGCGTACTCTTTTGCCTGTAGCGACTGGGTGTGAGCATCGAGCTCTCTTTGATGCCGCTTGAACATGGCTGCTTCCGCCTTCACCTTCTTTCTTTCGTGCTCTCGTTGCTGTTCTTCCGTATCCTGACATGACCTTACCCACTTGAACCATTGCTGCTTTTCGTATAGATGCTCTGCAAGTCTTCTCTCAAGTCTCTCAATTGCACAAAGGACGATATGTTTCTGACTACTTAAAGTATCGAGGTATCTCTGATGGCCGTAGTCCATGGTCATTGAGAAGAAGCGGGAGTGGTGGAGTTTGCGAGCTCGAATCACGCGGTCTAGGAGGCTGTGCTTTTGTGCGAGGTTCAGATATATCTCTTCAAACAAGTCTTCGCATTTGACGTCGCTGAATGTCTGGTTGGCAAGAGGGATTGTGGATTCTGCGAAGTAGGCAAGAGGGCTCTTATCAAGCTCGTCGAGCTTCGCATTACGATTCTTGTAACCTCGATACAATCCTAAAGTAGACGACGTCAGATAGGTTCAATGAATGCGCGAATCATGTTAGAGAGTAGCATCTGTACCTTGGCATTGCCGTGAGTGAAAGGAGCAGAAGAGACCATTGATCGAGGTCGCGGCCTCCTCACAGCGGTGCTGGTCGGACAAATTGAGAGCGGTACATTGCTCGCCTGAGGCCTGTTCGATCGCCATCGCAGCAATGGTGCTCTAGGGTTGCGATGGCAGAGGTAGATGATGTAGCGTAAGGGGTTTGAGTCCGACAAAGCTGCAGAATTTTCGTGCCGCAGTTGAGTCGCGTCGCGTCCGAAATCACGTGAGAAGTCTTGGCAATGAAAATAGGGTGACGTCTCAAGAAACGAGCAGTATTGACACCGCTATTGTACTCGTGTACCACCAAAGACTAAGGTAACAAGCTACATTTCAACCAACGAGAATATTTTTTAGCAGAGATAGGACTGCACTCATACAACAAAAGGCCAACGATGGCGTTATATCATCACACGCTTCTGCCGCACAATGATGGATTCGCATTCTTTAAATGACACATCAAGTGCATGTCATTTGTTTCTATTGTGGTCTACAGTGCTCGTTCTCCTTTGCGGTAAAGACTGGATCGCAATCGCCTCACGGTACCACTAGCAGGGCGCAACTCCCTTGACTTCGCCACCAACTCCTCTATCTAACATGACTTTGCCCACCAAGACCATGGCACTGGCTGATATTCCACCTCTCTGCGCTGCAAGAGACATCAGCAGAAGCGACAGCCAGACCTAGGAGGTACAAGTCGGCGCAGCTGGCTCAGTGATCGTCTTCGTATCCTCCGTCACCGTCACCGATGCAGGCGGGTGGGAGTGACTTCCATGCATTCCGCCATTCATTCCATCTGGCTTTGAGCACGTAGGCTTCACCACACTGACAGAGGAACAACCGGAGCAGTCGATTCCGGGCGCGCTCGTTGCCGTCACCGTGACAGTCGGCGCATTGGAGGCGTATACTGTTTCAGTACCCATGCCGGGAGGTGGTGAGTGGGAAGGTGGCGGGCCGGTAGGTTTGGGATGGCCACTTTCATGTCCTCCAGTGTGATGGCTTGGGCAAGCCAGTTGGAGAATGGCCTGGCCACCGTGTGTTGGACATGTCAAGTCGCCTTTGTTGAAGTGAGGGCCACCAGGGCCGCCAGGGCCACCAGGGCCAGGATGAGGGCCGTCTTGGGGACGGGCGGCGACGCTGTGTTTTGTTAGGAGAGGTAAGATGGTGTGGATGGTGGGTACGTACAGTGCAGCTGCACACGCAAGGATACTTGCAGCGCTAAGCTTCATGGTTACGAAATAGCAATAACTTAATGGATGATCTTGGGAAAAGTCTCAATGAGAGTCAAAGTGAGCGAGAAACTTCTGTGAACAAAGGAAAGAAGGACCGCACAGATGATGCTTAGAGAAATGGGGGGAAATCTTGGACTTTATGTGCTCGTTTGTGATCAGAGCGTTTTGAGCCGCTGCGGGACATACGAAAAAGGATGTCGCGGCTCCCAAGTCATCTTTCGTCGAAAACAAGATAAAACATTCTGAACCTGTCGTACTCGAACTGTCGCGTTGGTTTCTTGTTCAGGGGTTACGCGATTCCACGCAGACTCCATAGTCCACGTAAGCAGTTACGTGGCCTAGCGGAACGCGTATTATGCCGTGAAAACCAAACATTGCCTTTGAGCATGAAACATGACGATCTACCAATTGTACCACTTTAGTCGGGGCAGAATGGAGCCGCAGGTATACAGTAACGCCGTGAGAAGTTCCGTACTTCCAGAAGAGATGGCTTTGTCTTACTGTGGATCTGCCGTTGCCCGCCAACGATCCAAGGATGGCAATTTTTAGCGGGCGTCACAATGATGCGAACGAACTCGAGAGGTCCTCTTGTGCTTTCAACCTTGTAGGGAGGAAGTCAGCTATTGATGGTGTTGCGTGTATGTAGGAGGTTGTGACTTTCGTGTTGGTACCGGCATTCTCCGGACATCTCCTTTTGCATGAATTTTTGACTTCGCCACCTTGGAACTCATCAATAAGGCTACTCAAGGAACACCTGACTCCAGCCATGCCGAGAGGTCGTCGACGCATCATCTGCACCAATCACAGCTTCTCCGTCCATGATCCCATGAACATAAGATGTCCCCACATATCTGAAGGAGCCGAGTCTAGTAGCAGACTCTACCGGACGCAATATATAAGGTACTGAACCGCCGGCCAGAATGTATACGCAATCACCTTCTCGTGCCTCCATGGGACCAGCGCCAATGTAGTCTTTGTCTGTCCTGAAAAGCTTGCGACCCACGCTGCCGGAATTGACATCGAGTCGAAACGCCAACAAGTCATCTTCTGAAGTTGTAAAGTCATAATTAGAGCCATGTGTAATATTTTTCACCATCTTTGTACAGTCACGATAAATCAACCAGTCTTCAGGTGTTACTCTTCTGCATTCCATTTCTGAATCATGATACCTGCCAACGTAGTCCATCGAGACTCCGTTCGACGCCAGCAACCATATTGGGGGCGTTCCACAATCTTCTTCGTGCAGTGGCGGAACTTTTGGCATACCTTTGGCTCGATGATCGAGAAAAGTGAGATTCTTCTCAAGTGTAGAAATGAATGTAGAGGGGGGCAGGTCAGCGTCTGGAAGCGATTCGGCTTGAACATGGCTAATGGTATCGACATAGAACCCCTGAAGTTGAAGAACGCGTCGATCGACAAGACTCATAGACATTGTGCAGTCATTACAGGCGTCGAAAAGAGAATGTGTTTGTGTGCGCCCCAATTTTCGTAACAAGAGACGCACCTGACTCTGATCGGTGACCTTTCGCCAATCTGGAGCCCACGTTGGCAGGTCAGGATCCCTCTGCAAGTCGATTCCGGAAAAGTCCAGAACCTGCAGATTTCTCGTGACACTTGAGACTGCAAGAACCAAGTCGATGAAGGTCTGTTCGGAAGACTGTCCGTAATCTGGTTTGATGACTTTCCGAAGCTCAGAAGGGGCTAAGGCTAGGAATCCATAGATGTAATCGTGAGAATCCGAGGCGTCCAAGCTTAGACCACTCGCAAGGTTGTAAAGAAAGCTGCTCGCGGACTCACATCGCTTTACACGCCCATACATCAGATTCTTCTGGCTAGTCTCACGAAACTTACGCCACGTATCACTTAGACCCTCTATATCATGTACTTGCCGATCGACATCAAAGTCTGCGATATGCGCAATATCATTTAAGTCTGTCGATATGCTGCCGCAGTGTATGGTCACTTTCTCATTCAGGCTAGCCTCTTGCTGAACCCACACACGATTCCACCAAGCTCTTTGAGCAAGACCGGTCGCCTTTTCGATATGCGATGCATTCAAAGAAGCGCCTTTGACGGTCATTTTTTTAGCTTCCTTCTTTTGTCTCACCTGTTGCAGTAATTCGAAGGCTTCTTCGACGCCGAATTCACTTTCACCAAGCCAGGCTCTGACTCCGCTTGCTTGAGTATATATCTGTTCCATCAACTGCACTTGGTTACTGCGCTCTTCCAGATCCTGTTGATTAATGCAGATGGCATCCACCCAGAGATCGACGCTTTCATCTTTATGTCTGAGGTACCTCAGGGCACTTTCTAGGTTTGGGGTAACAAACCACTGTTGCTGATTCAACCGTATGGGAACCTTAACATCTGGATTACCCCAGACATATGACAGGGCCTCGAAATAAGGTCTATCATTTAATGAGACAATTCGGAGTGAACACTCAGGTCGATCTGTAAGTTTATTGCTCGGGTACAGCGTGAGAAGGCGTATCTCGGCCTTAGAGACGTCCAGGGGCTCCCAGATTGTCGTCATCGATACCCTTGATGTTTGAAGCGTCCAGAATGGTCAGTCCCAGGATGACCAATCGTGTGGCGAGTGCGCTTAAACATTGAAGACTTGGATGTGCTCGTTGACAATGGTGTTGCGTCACGATATACTCTACCTTCCCAGTGTCCTCTGACAGATCGAACCTTTCGCACCAACACTTCGTTTCCGCCGACAGGACCACCCGCTTAGTTCCCTCCTAGCTTGCGAGTAGGACTATTGATGAGATATGTTTCACAGTTGTGCCGTACGGCTTCGTCTCGTGCAAAAAGCCAGTGGAAATTCCGGGGAATCGCCGATTTTAAGCCACCGCCGGCCTTGGCACGCGATACTCAGCCTGCTTACTAATCATCATTATCGGAGTTCTGCCTGGAACGCCAAGACAATACAACGGGGATACTTATCGTTTGCCAGGTATACAGGTAGACCACGGTTCACTGGAGACTCTTGAAAGTTCCAAGAGTCAAGTCAATCCGCCAATGAAAAAACAACTTATATCGACAGTGCTATCTAGCCTTGTATTGATATAAGACCAAGAGGCAGTGCAATCTCGTTGCTGCCGGCCTCGAATCTCGTCTTCTACCTCTCCCTAGCTGGCAAGATGGAGGTAGATCGCTACGATTTACGTAGAGTCTTACACTCGAAGATACGGGGGGCAACAAGTGCAAAGCTGAGTATCTTCACAACAAGACTCATTGCGCAGCCCGTGAGACTTTTTCCCCCTTCGATGACCAATCTCACACTTCAAATCTCACGATATCCGATGCAGACTTCTTTGAGAAAACAGATCACTATCAAAGATGAAAAGGCGCTTATAGACTCAGGCGAATAGGGTTACAAACCAAGACCCTTCCTAGTATTGTATTCCTTTCGACTTTTGCCAACGCTCCCATGCCCGCACTACAATGATAAACACAACAAAAGTCACGGAACCCTCAACGAGTTCACGTTCTGCAAATCCCCACCTAGCGAACATCAAAAGCGGCGAGCCATTATCACCGCCCGTCTCATGAATGACCACAGCTCCTACACCGAAGGTGAAGTCAACTATCTCAATCTCAACCACTCGCAGCGCTTGAACAGCAACCCCCAAGATATCCTCGTCATCAGCGCGAACGAGATCAACCGGAAGGTGGATACTTGAATCATACCTATCAAGCAGCGCTACGGCGACATCATCTCCACCCTCCCTGACGGGAAAGACATCGTTCGCCGTAGATATCATGGACACCTCCGGCGATCTAGTCTCAATATCTGACAGACGTATGGTGTGGATCTGAGCATTTAATGTCGCTGAGGACGTGTTATTCAGGAAGTAGTTAGGGTTCCTCTCAAGCTTTGATGACAACACGACGCATTTTATATGACTGGCCTATGGACGTTGGAATGGCATGGCCTTTCTGGGACTATCGGGGGGCTTGAAATCGCTGCTGGGAAGTGTAGATTGAAGCACTGCCTTCCGACGACTGAAATGAACCTTAGGGTATACCTAGGGCAGTAGACATCGTTTAAAAATAGCAAGATCTCGATACGTCCAGATGGGAGAGCGACTTGCTACTGCACGAAATCAACTAAGGCTGTCATGAAAATCTCATAGATTTCGTAGATACGCTGGCTGCTCTCTCCCGACTTTGCCAAATCACCTCGCCTCATATTGTCCTCCGCCCTCGAAAGATAAATAAGTCTCGGTGGTGAGAATAGCTGCCAATCACAATCGTGTACAAACGTATCATCAGCCAGATTCTGGTTGAATATCAAATCAAACGAAAAAAGTCAGAAATTGCTCTCGATAAATCTCAGCATCGAGAATAGCAATGCTGCCAGAAATCAAACGTCAGCCACATCAGAACCAAGACAGAGCTGCGAAGTCTCAGACTCACGCCTTTGTGTTGCGCACCTTCTCTCCCACCAATGTTCCGATGCCACACTCATGCTCAGGCCGCCTCCTCCTTAACCTCAGCATCCAAATCATCTTCATCCTCCTCCCAACTATCTTTGACAGCTGCCACAGAAAACGTATCCTCCTCCTCCTTTACCTCCACCTCATTCTTCTTCGCACGCTTCTTAGACCCCTTATCAGCACCCTTGCCTCCACGCGCACGCTTCACCAGTCAGCGCACACATCTCCCACCAACCATCCAATATCGAATTTCACATACCTTCTTGCTGTTTGGGCCAGGCACTTCGCCATCATCACCACCTCCACCATTCTTTTGCGCGCCATTGGATTTCTCCGCAGATGGAGCAGTCGGGTCGGCACCTTCGAAGGTCGCGAGCTTCTTCATCAGGCTGCGCCAGCAGGCGTTGGCCGTGCTTGCGTTCTTGTACGGGACGTACTCTGCGAGGAGCTTGAAATCCATCTGGGGTCTTTTTTAGTGATGGAATGGTGTGCAGAGTTCGGTACGAGTTGGTGATGGGGAGAGGGGAGAGGGAGAGGGGAGGGTGAGGGTGAGGCGTCACTTACGGGCAAGGTGGCGTTGTCTTTGACACATTTTGCGATGCCGATGGATAGAAGCCGGAGGTCGTTTTGCGTCAGCGTTTTGGGGGCCGCTTTGGTGGTTGATTCGTCGTTCATGGTTGTTGAAAGGAACTGGTTGGTGGTATGATTGTGGCTTTTAGATGGAGGGGAAAGAGAATGAGAGAAGTGTTTTCTCTCGAGGATTTCGAGTGTTGACTAAGATAGTGATCGAAAGGAAGTAGCGCGAGGGTTGAACGACCGATGTAGAGGAAACCAGAATAATGGCTTTTTATGTACGGAGTTGAAGTTGAGCTGCGATGATAACTTTGAGACAAAGGTTGTAAGTAAAGAGAAGAAGATGGAAGAGCAAGTGATGTTACTTGTAAATTACTTTGAAGTGTTGCGTCAAGACCGCCGAGTGGCGAAGTGAATGAAGTCCACCAAGCCGATGATAGGTCCAAGTGATTCAGGGTCTCGACTCAGGTAATGAACAACACTTGGACTCGCCTTCGCTGGTAGAAGCCTGTGCAAGAGATCTCTGACGAGTTCTACTTGCAGCTGCACTTGTGAGAAAGGGTTCAAGTACAACATTCCAAGTGGTGACAACAAAATTTTTAATCTTCATATTCACACCGCCAGGTCTGTGCCAGCAGACAAATCTCGTTCCGCCAGTGATATCCAGCCCCCAAATGTTTGAAGTAGCGTGAGTCCACCTTGATCATTCATGAATGCGCAAAAGGGCATCAAACAAATCCACTACGTTCCCCTTGTCGAGATTTGCAACACAAGTCCACTTTGATGTCATCTCATCTCGGCCTCGTCCAGTTCAGACCCGCGGGTCAAGTGATGCCCCAAGTAATGACCAAGTCGAGCCCTGTGACGTCCTAGCGGAATTCCCTCCATAATGGGCAGTCAAATGTATGCATAGTCCTTACAACCCACGATCTACATCTCAAAAGATGCAATCTATCGTAGACGAGCGACGATGGCCCTGTAGAATTCAGGATCTGCCAGCGGAATCCCAGGACTAGTGGCAGCTGAGGTCTGCAGTTCGGACAAGGAAGATCGAGAAGAGTTAACTGGAGATGGTTTCTTCTACAGTGGTGGTAGGAGCTCTCAAATTTAGGCATCAGGTCCATCCTGCGTTTAGGGCGCATGACACTAAAACGATCTTGTTTGTCTAGAATCGCTTATTTTGTGAATATCAAAGACAATGGCTTTTGTGAGGTGGAAATAGTCCTTCGTGTTCCGGCACAGTTAAGAAAAGTTTCGTTCGAAAAGAAGCGGCTAGTCGCACCTCTTGCAGATCTTTAACAATCCTCTCAAGTTTCTAGCGCATCATGATTTTCAACACTTTTCCACCACCGTCAAGGGACATGATTTGAATTACGATATCAAAAGAAAAGGGTCAGTGGCAGGAGCGTCATAACTTGCAACGCATTCAAAATAAGTCTGAACCTTCGCGTATATTGGCGCCCTTTTAATGTGCTCCATGTACCTTGCAAATAGATCGTCGGTCGTCTCGTTATGATTGACTTGGGAGACGCACAACTTGCTGCACAATGCGACAGTACGGTCCATTGTCTTCTCTTGCCAGCCTTTTGACTCTGGAGGCCTTCGTTCTGGTTGATAAGGCACCTGGCAGCGAAGATGACCGCAAAAGCCGTCGCTCCATGCCAATACTCGGTCGTCGACAAGGTCGAAGGCTCGATCATTTAGTTGTTCTACCTCATTTGAGAATTTGCTTGCTGGGTAAATCGTAGCTGTGAGCGCCAGCGACATTGAAGCCCTAAATCTGTAGCATGAAATCTACAGGTTCTGTTATCTGTTGACCCTATCAGGCAGGGTCACGGAGCCGCTCGCATTAGATCTTTTCTGGCCGAGCACATGTTTGTTCCGCGGCGCTTGCGTAGATAGCGATTATCTTCTTTGATGACTCACGACAGAGCATTCGAGAGTAAGTGTGGCTTGCGAACGAGGTTTGGTGGATAGCAAATGGTAAATATCACATGATCAAAAATTTATGTAGTCACAATTCGATGTATGCCATGGCAAGAGCATGGTCCCTCTGAGATAAGGGAGCAAGACATCCGCAAGATAACGCCCCTAAGTCACCGAATCATAAGTCTGCTCATGACACGCACTCAGTTGCACCGTCCTTAAGGTTTTATGTCTCTCACCGTCGTTTACAATCTCGCTGATTTCGTATTGCAATGGCCCGAAGGGATGAGCAACCCGGCAGACGAGTGATGCCATAAGGACCCTGTCAAGTTGGCCGGTAGGCTATATTGAGGTAGCCTCCTCATCGTCCTCGTCGGGAAAACTCCTGGATGGTTTGATGTCAGAAGTGCGCGTCTAATGAGGATACACCCCGCTCGACGCTTTCTGACAGTTGCAATTCGGCCATCGTGGCCCATAATCTTCTACGCATCGCTTTTTCACATACAGATACCTGATAACCAAGAATCTCCGGACTTGTGTGCAGACCTACGGTAATTGCGCTAGCCAAAGAATGCTGTGAGAGGGCATAGTGACGCTTGAGCTTGATGGCATTGATCTTCCGAGACAAAAGCAAGAGGCACTTGGATTGCAGAACCTCAAACCTCGTGTGTTTCTAGCTTTATTGATCGTGCCAGCTCTCCACCGCGTCCATCCACGACATGACCTCTTTCCTGGTACGAGAGCTTGTCCTATCAGGATAACGCAGCTGGAACGAGAGCATTGAAAGAGACATCATGACCGATTGAACCCACCCAGAAGGTTTCATATCGGCGCCAGAGATACGCTGCCTATGGAGCTTCTCACCTCATTCGAACACTTTAATTGTCTTGAAATAGCACGCTCTTGGGTAGTCTATAGCCCCCGTCTTTTATTACCCATCCTGGCTCGCCATATCATAGGTGGCTTGAAATGATTCAAGTCTTAGGAGACGACAGCAGTATTCGCAGACCGTCAGATAGAAATGGTTGAGAACATCAACCCTAGTATGTCCATCATAGCGCACCCGATTCTTTATCTCAATCTCGATAACAAGATTTTCTCACGTCGAAAGCCGACGAGCAGAATAAGTCCTCCCTTGCAAGAAATTCCTGGCGGCGCCGCCAATACCGTCAAACAGAAAGCCACCGATGTCGTCACCACGCACAAAACTCAGCACTGGAAAATCCTGTTCGTCAAAGACAACGCTGTATTGCCACCTGGAGATGCTGGGTTTCACGTTTTCAAAACCTTTGATATTGCGTCGCCTACCTACCCCCTTCTCTTGAATCGCTGGTTGTCGACTGAACGAAGATTCAAGAATGTTCAGGGCGTGGAAAGCTTGCATTTTGAACCAGGCATAAAATCTCGGCATCGACTCGATGAGCATCATCATGTGCAAGTTTATCCAAGATCATCCGACAGATGTGGTGATGGAGGTTATTATCCCGTTCAATTTGGCGAAATATTAAGAGGCGAAAATGCCACCTATAAGGTGTACACTCGCAGAGGTTATGGACGCGATGGCGAAGTCTTCTTGGTGGAAAATCTAAGGTAATCAGTGGCGGTCGAAATACTGATCTGTGGTCAATTTAACTAATGGTTTTCTCCAGAACATCACAATGTCATGTGGTCAAGATCTTCAAGTCAGGACTCTCTGTACAGGCAAGACAGCAAGCGGATGTTCTCAAAAAACTTTCCGCTGGTCCATCGAATGACCCCGGAAAGAAACATATTGTGGATCTACTTGATAGCTTCGAGATATCCGGGCCCTCCGGACACCACACGTGCTTGGTCACCCAGTCACTTCGGGACAGGCCTTCGCACATACATCTAGAGTCGAGGAACGACATATATTTGTGCAAGCAGCTTGTAGAGGCGGTGGTATACATGCACAAGCTAGGTGTTACCCATGGCGGTATGTTCTGTTTGCCTAACGTACTTGTGTAGAGAAAATAAGACTTATCTGTATTTAGATCTCCGCCGAAATAAATTTTTGTTGTATCATGTTCCCCTATCGAGTCATAATACTGGACCTTACGCTTGGCCATTCGTCAAGATTGTCGGGTTTGGGCAAAATGTCTCGTCTATGTACCTTCATGGACATCTCGACGTGTTTCAATATGTTGCTCCTGAGGTCATACTTGAAGGAAAATTAGGACCCAAAGCTGATGTTTGGAGTTTGGGAGTCACTGTACGTTAAACTCAGCAATTCCGAGTTACCAAGCATCGAAGCTAAGGCCTCCCGACCAGCTCTTTGAGATACTTTGCTCTGAGAACCCGTTCAGATATTGTGACCTCACAAACAAAGAAGGTCTCGTGAATACCTGGATGACTGTGTTAGGCCCGTTGCCAGAAGAGTGGAAAAATCATACGCCTTACAGGAAATGTGATTGTAAGATATGAGTAACACAGTCTTTCTAGCTTATCAGACCTGCTAACAACCCCGGCTTGCAGGGCCCAAGATTGGAAAACATGATCTCAGCAGATATCTTCCCAAAGAGGCCGAAGACAGGGCCGCCATAGTTGCAGAAGATGCGAGCTACATTGACGAGGACGAGTACTCTTGGGATGACGATGATGAAGATAGCTGCGACGCTGAAGCCGAAGACAGCCTTGACGCAAAGGATGAAGATAGTCACGACGCTGAGAACGAGGACAACTGCGACTCCAAAGATGAGAACAGTTGTGACGAGGACGACGACGACAACCACGTCTATGATTACATGGAAGCTAGGAAGATCAAAAGAACATAGTCTCAATCAGACGTGGAATGCTTGCACGATCTATTCACTTCCATGATACAGTATCGACCGTCAGATCGGCCGACAGCCGCCGAAGTCCTTCGACACCCCTTGTTCCAGCGTTGTCCAAGGCATACTGGCTGGAAGACGGATAATACCCCACCAGAGACAAAGCTTGCGAGGGAACATGACGCTTGTAACTATGAGTATAGCCGAATGAAACGCTCAGTATAGCCTTGTTGCCGCAGACAAAAATCGAACGGATGTTTTGTGAAGGATTCCCCGCAGCATGTCTTGCAATTCTTTAAAAAACCCTCAAAAGCGTGCAATAGAAAGCGTCCACGCCCGAAGTAATAGACAATTTACCTTGTCGAGGTACAACCTCTGCCTTCGATCCAAAGCTCAGGGAAATCTTATACCATACCCACCGCACTTAACGTCAGGGGCAGCTCAATAGGGGTTCTGTAGCCCCTTTTCCCATTGTGTGCCGAGATCCCCCAATTCAATGCCAGAAGCACATAAATCCCAAAGGAGTCGGTGGAGTAGTGCCACTGACGCTATAGAGTACTTCGATGGAAGGCGCTCTGGTGGCTTTAAAGGCGTTAAGAATGCGAGTCACGGGTGCCGAAATGCGCCGCAAAGTGGGTCTCAAAGCGCCATCAGGTCCACTGAGTCGACGAATATGGCTATTTGGGCCCACTTGTTGAAGATTTTTAATGCTAGGCGTTGCATAGGTGTGAAAAGACCATGAAGCTGACTCAATCTGTGAAGACACAATGAATTATAGGGCAAATTCGGTGCGTGCTGCCCAAGAAGGGGCGAATCCCCTCAAAAGACGGTTTATCCTTGCGACTAGCATCTAGTGAGGAAGTTTATTACGGTACCATGATTCTAGAATAAAGAATGTGAAGCGTCAGATATCTTTCATGAGTATCGACGATTGAGTTCTATTCCTGCGCTCATTGATTAGATGAGTGCCGGAGGGGCTTCAGCACAATGCTCAGCAGCCCGGCGCTTCAATTTCGAGCTGATTCCGACCGGTTGCACTTGTGTGACTGCACTGCTATCTAGTTCTGGTTTGCGATACCCTTCCTGACTCGTGATCTGAGGGCTGGCTGCACGTCGCTTGCTCTTTCTGGAGAAGACCAATGTGATGATGATGAGGACGATGCCTGCGATGCTCCCAACACTAGCAGCCGCTATCGTTGCTTTCTTGAATTTCGGGGTCGGTCTAGTCGATTTGGTTGAGAAATCGTCCGGCCAGGCTTGCCTGAGCCTTGATGTGTTGTATGGCGGGCATCCGGTATCGTGGAAGTGACCCATATTTGAATGAGTCTGTGGTGGTGTTTCCAAGTCTCTGTTGCAATGCACCGGCTTTGCTTCCACCATCAGATCCTCCGCCAATAACGCTCGACAAGGCTTCGAGTCGCACTCGTTCGCCAGGCACGTCAACGGAAACTCATCTCTGAAAGATCCACAACACGTCCCCTCTTCATACTTTTCAATTGTCGAGAAATCGTCGAGAAGTTTCATAGCAAATACTCTGCCAATTGTGACCTTCGCCTGAAGTGGAGAGACCGGTTGCAAGAATCCAATAGGCCAAGGTGACTTGGGAGGCGACGGGCAAAAACTATGATCATCATCTCAGGGGAAAGTAACCACTTATGGAGTCAGTAATCGAGATAGCAGAATCAGGTCGCATCAGTCATGCTTGAGGTTTTTGTTGTTGTCGCCATCGCCGAGCTCTAATGATTTTCCAAATGCCTGCAATTTCTGTCGCCACTTCCTCTTAAGTTATACCAAATAAGACTTTGATATTCCCGCGGCTTCTCATGATACGCGAATTTTAGAGAATGAATCACAATGAAAAGCTGTCATATATAAAGCAAATCGAATCTTGACTTGAACGAAGCCAGAGGCGTCTATACGGGGAGGCTCCATGCATCAACGGTGGCATCTCCGCCCAGAGCACTCTTAGAGATCCCTCCCCAGGCGTCTAATTTGCAGGGAAACCCCCGGAGAAGACGCCCTTATCTCCGGCCGGCAGCGGAGATTTGCCGGTCACGCCACATAATCGATGACCGCATCCTGCATACGTTACAAATCGGCGACAACATCACGCACGCATTCGGCGAGCGGAAGACTGACTATTGTCACATATGCCTCCCCTCCTCCTCTCTAGCTTGATACCACTGTTGAAGGCCGTTTGATGACGACGATGATACCCCCTAGCATCCCGCCCGAACGGCATCTTCTCTCCTAATCCCCAACAGACGACTCCTCAGCGCACACATCCCTCACAATGGCCGAACCCCCTTCCCGCCCAACAATAACCCAACGCCTGACCTCCCTCGCCTCGCGATTCACGCCCACACCCACCACTTCCGCCCAACCCTCCCGCGCCCCCTCCCCCACCCCCGCAGAAAAACTCCGCACCCGGATCTCCGCCCTCTTCCCCATAACCGACCCCGCCGTCGACGGCGAAGATTGCGATCACGACTGCACATCGTGCACGGCGCGGTATCCAGCGAAATTCGCGATCGACGAGGAAGACGAGCTGTTCGGGCATGTGAATGGGTGGGAGACGCATTTGATTGTGGGGACGGGGAGGAGTGATTGGGTGCGGGATGTGGCGGATGAGGGGGGAAGTGTTATGGAAGCTGTGGGGAGGGGGGAGGTGAGGGCTGGGAATGGGGTGGGTGATTCTTTTCTTTTACTTCTTTTGTTGGTTTGTTTTGTGATGGCACAGGGGAAGAGGGGAGTGGGGGGAAGGGGGTGGATTAGTAGGAAAATCAGCTGAATTGTGTGACGGGTGTAGAACATGATGCTCTCCGCCTCCAACCTACCCGTCCCCGACGACGCGCCTATCCTAGAAGGCGAGCAAGCGACAACCGTGCTCCTCCTCCCCGCCTTCACTTTCATCGACAACGTCACGCCAAAGCGAGTACCAGGCCTAATCACGGACTTCGTCAACACCGGCCCCACGAATGGGATGCCGCTCCGCGACTCCCCTCCGTCCCTGCCGTCCCTACCGTCCCTACCATCCCTGCCAACGCCAATCTCCACCTCCACCCTACCACCATCAGATCCCCCCTCGACAACAATGTCCGCACGACCGTGCCCACACCACTACCTGATCCTCCTTTGCAGCCAAAAAACCCGCGACGCGCGCTGCGGCCAATCCGCGCCGATCCTGCGCCGGGAGCTAGAACGGCAATTGCGCCCGCTAGGCTTATATCGGGATTTGCATGATATGAGACCAGGGGGTGTGGGGATCTATTTTATTAGTCATGTGGGTGGGCATAAGTATTCTGCGAATATGATGGTGTATCGGAGGGCGGATGCGGTGGTTGGGGGGAAAGGGGTGGGAGAGAGGGAAGGGGATAAAGGGGGGATAGGGAAGGAGGGGAGGGAGGGGAAGGAGGGGAGGGAAGGGGCGATGGGGCAAGCGGCGCAATGCATTTGGCTTGCCAGGGTCAAGCCGCAGGATTGTGAGAATATCGTCAGGTATACGGTTTTGCAGGGGAAGGTTGTTAAGCCGGAACGGCAGCTACGAGGGGGTTTGATCGTGTGAAAGGCGTGGTGAGTTGGTAAAGGCGCTGATTCAATTCTTTTGCGTTTTTGAAGATGACTAGAGATTTTTTATTGTGTTATTTGGTAGCTATCATCCGCCTGCTCGAGGGCGGGTTTTGAGCAGAGTCTAGTCAATACTTGAAGAAATTTCTAGAGATGTTGAAGAGCGTTGAGTCGATTTTGACATGTTGCTGGCGCATTCGATATCTCCATTTGCAATGAATATTTCTTCGAATGTCTCTGTTCACGCGCTTGCTACCTTCTCCCGCTTTTGATTTGGCTCAATTGTATTCAAATCTCAAGTATGGAGAGCACTTCTCATCCAACCAATAGGCGGCAACAAAATGCACAAATCAGCTGGGCTGAAGTATCTGCCGAGGGAATTGCGAGAATAGTGTGTTTGCCTGCTAGAGTGTGAACATACATCAGCAATTGCACGTATTTTTGACTGACTTGCTGGTGTTTTGAACAATTCTCTTTGCTCTCAGTAAGAAAGCACTTCCTGTTAATCGATGTACTGCGAATGGATGCTCCTAGTCTGTCCTGGGCTGAGCGAAAATTACCATAGGTCTCTATCCTAGTATGCAGGTTTCTGGCTTACAATGGGACACGTTTTCGTTTCCTTTTGGGTGCGATTGCTGAAAGATCATTGGTGTAGAGTCCAAGCAAATCTCTCACAAATTCTGGTACCTGATCAAGAAGTATCTCATAGGCAGCCTTGGCATCTTCATCGTCTAGAATGTCAGGCAACCTCTCTTGAATAGCTTGGACGACAGTTTCTCGCATCTGCCCGACCGAAGCTGGTGTCATCTTGTAGATAACATGAACAGATTCTATGACTGCAATGGAATCCCAACTCCCTACACATCTGTGCGAATAACGGTCCACCGCCAACGTTCGGAGCCGGGGTATGTCGTAACGATCTCCTAGGGCGAACATTCGGGCGTGGATTTTGAAAGACGATGTATGATCGTACACAGAGTCTTCGGGTAAGGTATCAAGGTAGCCTAGTCGATAGAAGAATTCTATCAACCTCCCCAAGTCATCCGCCCGTACGCCTGTCATTTTGAATATGCTTGAATTTGCTTCCTGTCTCACCAGTCAGTAAGACAACTAATTACGAGCAGCAGAGGCTTACCTGGAATCCTCCCGAGCAAGCTTTCTGGATCACTCTAGACTGTGAACAGACGATCACACGATGAACATGGAAGGTAGAAGCGAGTTCGTTGTCGAGTTGTAGCAGGAGGTCGGAGTATTCATTATCAAGCTGACACCTACCATCTTTTCAGCCTTGACTTTCACTTTTGGCCAGTGGAATGATATTCTGACAAATCTGAAATGAACGACCAAGGGTCTGCCCGCATTTCGGACATGGTTGGATGAAGAGACCAAAGCTGCAAGACCGAGAAACTTGGATGATAATATGTGTCAATTGTCGCATTTGCTTTCTGTTGTGTCATGCACTTGACCCCGCCCCAATAATTCACTTTCTTACAACTTCATTCACTCCAATTTAGTAATATTTCAGGTTTTCTTGAGCACTTTGATTCCGTCATTCTCTAAATACCCGCTTAACTTCATACTCGATATGAACAAGCATAAGTCGATAAATTGTGCCGAAACCCAGCCTTGACGCTCTGTACAGCGGATGCTACTATTGTCAATCTGAACACCAGTACCACCGTTAAACCACATTGCACCTCTTCAAGAAAACCTGATCTTCAGTCGCTTTTTCAGTCAAATCATCACTTTGAGTAAAACTCTCTTGATCTATTCTCTCAAATTATTTACCGAATCCTCGCTTGTTTAACAATATTTTACTACCACAAAATCTTTTCAACGTCCTTCTCGATCAGATTTTTGTATGCAAGTCCTCAAAAATCCATTGAATTAATCTTCACAAGAGCTTCGGTTTACACAACGTCAGAGCGCAAACATGACAACCAAGGGAAGCCAGCCGACTGGTAAATCTCAGGGACCAGACTTGAGGAACATTAAGTTCACAGTCGCATTGAGCAGGTCCTTGAATCAACAGCCAAGCTACCATTCCAATGTATCTACAAGAAATCAATCAGCCCGATTGATAGACGAGCTGACCCCAGACAGATTCCCCGGGGTAGAATGAACAAAACCATTGGACTTGCTCAGAAATACGGAGACAAGTACGGCCTGGAGTGGAGATGGTTACCATCATTATGCTGCCGGCACGGAGGCTACTACACAGTCAATCAGCTGTTTGAAGTAGCGGAGGAAGCTCTATTCTACGAACTCGAAGCCGATCTGAAAGCTATCGTCAGACGTGAGAGCAAGGTTGTGGAATACAACCGACGAGTGTATGCTCGCCAGCAGGAGAGAGAGCGTCATCAGAAGAATGCGATCTTAGTGGTGCCCAAAGGCGACAAGAATCAGGCTGAAACTGAATCTTGCAACAGCAATGTAAAGGGGAATACATCGGTCGTAGTGAGTAGCTTACCTTACGATGAGAAAATAGACTAAGCTGATGACTTGACAAGGATATCTGTGACGATGCGACTATACGAGTAGACGCGCTCCGCCGCCGCAAAATTCTCAATTGCCGACAGTCTAGGCCTTTTCGGCTGCACCAAGATAGTATACAGCAGAAGCGTGCTCGCATCGACAACGATAAAGAGGGGCCTGCCAGCAAGAAACATGCATACTACGTGTCCGAAAACTCTGAAGACCCCAAAGGCTCCCAGGACTTATTTTCGAGTGATTGATTTCTTCGCTTGCAACATTACCTTGACGACGAGACGCACGATTCCCGAGAATTGAAAAGGAGAGTAGGGATGCTTTGATCTGCATTTCGCATCATCGATTGAGATCCGGAATCACGATTCACGTTATCCAAGTCTTGAACTTTGGAAGGAGAAAGCGTACATGACAAGGGACAACGAACAAATTTCTATTTGGCATGCATACCACATCACCTGAATCTTACCCTTCGGCGAGCGTTATTAAAGAGAACAAGTGGGGACAAGAAAGGCATACGCGGGGAAACTAAAGGGTTTCCTTCTTCAAGCCCATGTTTACATATCTATGAATGAAAACTCACTTCACATGCCCAGCACCAATAGCCTACCCATCCCCCAACTTCATTTCCATTGCATCTGATATCGCTGAGGAAACGACGTATTCCTATTCAATGACAGGTTGGATGAACAATATCGTAGCACATCAAAACAAGGCACACCAAAGTTGGCTTTTCCTCTGAAAATCTTCGGTATATATATCTCTAGCTGAATATCCTACTGCCATTCTCCAATGCACTACAGATAAAATCCCCCATTTTCCCTCCAATCACAAATTAAGCAAGCACACCCCATTCCCCACACAACGCCCAACAGAGCCAGTCTTCCCGGCGTCCTGCGTAAGTCATTCCCATCCATCCAACAGAAGCCCCCAGATATCTGCCCGACGGCCAAGCTCATTCACATTTCAAGCCTCCACACTCGCCCACCGAGTTTTCTCAAATCTCGAAGTGTGAACCACATTCGCCCCGCTCCACCGGCCAGACCTTCCCTGGCACGTTTTGCGTCTCCCTACGACTCAAATGAACAGAAACCACAATGATTATTATGTATCCTGTCCCCATTTAGGGATCTGATGAAAAAGTCAAATCTCGCGGGCCTCCAATCTACTCAAGTCACCTACTGCCGGCGCGCCAGTCTTGAACTTCTATCTTCTATATACTACGTACAGTGGAGTCTGGTATCAAGGCACTCTTGACATGCAACGTTTTTCAAGGGGAGAGGTTTGGAGATTACAACGTTGGCGTTGGCGCGAAAGCCGTGGCACTTTGGGGATTGGGCCTTGTAGTATTAAGGAGATTGTTTGAGAACGGCAGTCGTATTTGCTATATTGAGAATACTTCGTGCATTCGTGGTGAGGGACATGTAGGATACAGTAGATGGGAAGGCTGGGGATGAGGTTTTCGGTTTTATGATGAGTCTGTTGTGGAATAGCGCGCCTGCGGTGGTGGGGGAGGTTAAAGAGACCCCATAAGAAGACTGATCACAATTTTTCCTACTGGCTGAAAAGCTGCAATGGAGTTACTCCAGTCTTAACCCCAGCAATAGCGCTTTACATCGGTGACGGGTAATAACAGACTTCTCCAACGCGTCATTTCGCTGGCGTTAGATTCTGTATCTCTACATTAGCGCCTTCCATTCCAAATGTACGTTCCGTCATCATGCATACAGCTCCTGTAAATCTTTCACGACCTCTATACTACAACTCATCTCGACCGTCGAGGCCGCTGCTGACACGCAGAGAGAGCCCTAACTTCGACCCTCACAATTCCAGCCAAAGTTGAATTCTAGGTGGAATGATATGGTGATGCTGTCAAACCCAGCTTTCAAACAATAATGCTGGCAAAGTATACGGTTTCGCTGTCTCCTACGAATGACATTGGATGCGAGAAGCAGACGACGTCGAACGCTCTTGCTTCTTGAGCTGTGTAGCACACATATAGTGTAGACAACAGTAACCTCATAAGTATATAAAGCCAAGACGAAATACGCCCACGGCCGACAGGAGTGCAAGGCCTCCAAACAGAGTCGCTGGCCTGATGGAAGTCCCTAGTGTATCTAGAAACTTCCATGAGTATTGACCTCGTCCTCAATCCTGAGCCGGTGGAAGGTATTATTTGCCATGGTTCAAAACACGCTCAGATCGACGCATCGCCATCAAGAAGTCGTCACTTCCGTGCCAGGTTTCAACATGGCGTGAGGAAGACTCCGTTCTTTTTGAGGGGGGGAAGAGGAAAAGGGGCACTCGACAGCACAACAGCCCTTAGAGCACTGCCTATTCTAAGAGCCCGTTTACCGACAGACTCGCTACAAAGTAGCGCTTGTAGACTCCCATGCTGTGGAAACAGAGAAAATTGGATCATTTCTGCACCTCTCCGATCCTCAAGCACGGCTATCTCCCCCCCCGGGCAAAATCTTTGGCCTCAAGTCCCATTAGACCGAACCGTTAGATACAGATAGTTGTCAGCACAGCATCCAGGGTTGTATCTTCCAGCGTACCCGTCTACTTCGCAGCATCGAAAGCCATCCGCCCCATCCGCCCCAGCATTCAAATCTTCCACCACTTCCATTGCTAGCCGCCCCCCCCCCAACCCTCGAAGCTATCAAATCTGAAGGAGCCAGAACTACAAGTGCCATTTTCTCCGGCATTCCAAGCTCCTTTCCCCCCCCCCTCCCCCCCTCTTCGCTCAACTAGCCTCCAAATCTGGACGTCAAAGTTCGCGTTTCCATCCTCAAGGATAGATATCGTCCTAGCTAGCGCCTTCCTTGCTCGCTTGTGGTTGCTTCATTCGGGACATCTTCATCGCCAACACTGTTGTCCATTCGTGAGCAAGTTTGTTTCTCCCAGCCTCCATTCTCGCAGTCTCTCGTCGAGGATATATATGTATGTACCATATTGTTGACAGGAGATGAACGAAACATTCAAGGGGAAAGATGAGGGAGTAGCTTGCGTAGCAAATATGGCATAATGGGCATCTTGTGCAGCGGGAGGAGATCCAGCGAAGCCTGTTTATGAGTAGAGTGCAAATATGAAATTTTGAAAGTCGCGCAAGACTGGTCGACATTTCCTTCATGCACTGTGATATTGAGGTTCCGAGGGGTTTCTGCAATTGCATGCATGAAGGATATCTATGACCTGATTTACCATACGTGTCCTGTACCGGTGGTATGCGTCCACTCGGTTCAGAGAAAATCTCTGCTCCTCCGACAAAATAGGTGGCTGGCATCAGAGTGACAACACTCATCACCGTATCAGCCGAGAGTATGCATATAGATCTGACAACTGGACTATCAACGCTTATCCAGCGCCTCGTCGCCTATTCAGCATACTCAATCCTTCGGGGGCTACAGCACCAACAATCAGCATATCTGTCTCCCACAACGCAAGCCTTTCCCTCATGTCCCGCACCCCCACCCCAGAAAAACGAAAACCAAAACAAACCAGACGAAAGACCACGACATACCTGCGTAGAAGCCCAATACCTCACATAATCATAACTCTTAATAATATCCGGATTGGCCCAATCCCGAAAATACTGCACGCCCTCCCCATGCGCCCCCGTCCAATTCGCAACATTCGTCTTACAAATACTCGGCGCCGTCCAACACTTACTCAACTGAATCGCCTCCCCCGAATACTGCGTCTTCTCGCACCCGGGAAAATACGTCATATCGCGCATGACACAGACGGCAAGATTGAAAACGCCCGCATCCCAAGGGTTGAGGGTTGTCCACAGCTTGAGGGGCTCGAGATCGCCCTTGGTGATAGCATCACCGATGTCTTGGGTGGACGCGTTGTATTTGAAGCCGTTGCCGAAGTAGGAGGAGAGGGAGGACTGGAAGACGTCGACGGGGGTCCATTTACGGCCGTAGATGACGTATATGTTGCCATCGCTATCCTTACCTTCATAGTAGCTTTTCTCGTTGAAGGTGTCGAAGGCCTGGGCGCCCATTTGGGGGTACATGAACGCTGCCATGCCCTTGTTGAGGCCGTCGTCGTAATCGCAGTAAGATTCGATGACGTCGTTGAAGTGCGCGTAGGATTGCAGGTCCTTGCAGTCTTTTGACGAGAAATCGTTTTTTTCTTTATTGTCGAACCACTTGACCGGGCCGTAGGGCACGAAGACGATGTAATTCCCGCCTTCGTCCCAGGCCGAGTTGACAAGTTTGTAGAGTGTGTAGCGCGCGAACCAGGAAGCGGCGGTGGAGACGAAGCCGGAGTCGGTGCTATCGACGACTTTGTTGATGAGGTTGTCGCCAACGAGGGCACCTTGCTTGAAGATGGCCGAGAGGTTGGTGCCGTGGTCGAAATACTCGTTGTTCTGGTCGATCAGGTGCTGTTGCGAGATATTGATGAATTGGCTCATGGACGTCATGGCGTGCGCGTACCCTTCGAATTCGACTTCGGTCGCGGCCACGCCTTCTATGTTGGCGAAGGACACGGCGCCGTTAAGGATGGAGGACATGCCGAAGAGGACGGCGCCGCCGATGAAGCCGACCCAGAGCGCGGGCGTCTCGGCGAGGAAGGGCGCGACGGCGAAGCCGATGACCGAAAGCATTCCTACCATCGATGCCGCAGCTTGGACGATGTTCTTCCATGTCTGCTCCGCCTCCGGCAGGTTGAAATGCGCATTCCACTCCGGGATGGCGTCTTGCAGCATATCGTCGGCTTTGTCGTAAGCCTGGTAGGTAAAGGCGAGATAGCGGCTCAAGCTCACAAGCGCGGCGAACGTGAGGTACGCTTGTCGCCGCCATACGACGGTCTTTGTATCTTTGCACGGTTTGTCTACGATACAAGATCCAACCTGGTCGAGAGAGCATTGGGACTCGAAACTGTCGCCGAGATAGGTGTTTTTAAACCAAGTAAACCATCCATCCTTCCCCTCATCGGTGTTTTTGATGGCTGTATAGTTTTTTGCTTGCGCATCCATGAAGTCGTCCACGTCGAAGGCTTTCCACTGATCGGCGGTAATCGCGAAGGATGTAATGTTGCACTCCTCGGTGGCTGGTTTGTCGCAGGGGATGACGGCCGTGACGGAGAAGTCGTAGGGACCACCCGCCTTATCGCTCGAGGTGTGTGCGAAGACTCCACGAGTTATCACGCCATCCACCGCCGTCATTTTCCAAGTACCATCATCTTGTTTTTCAAATTTTTCGACTGGTGGCGCCTGCTGTCCGCTGGTGTTGGGTACATTTTCGCCATTCATGCTGACAATTTTGTCGCCATCTCCAGCTGCGAACTTCCACCCCTCTTTGGCGGCAGACCATTCGATTCCGCCTGTTGGTTCGATCAGAATCTGACCCGTGGCTAATTTTGTCGCTGACGAGAAGGTGATTGATGCCGAAGTACACGTGCTGGGGTATGTGGGACTCAAGACCATCCGGCCACCGGGGCCTTCTGAGTTCGAAACCGATGCATACGTGCAAGTAGTTTTAGGTGGCGTAGAGCAAGAATAGGTCGCCTGCAGCAGATCCTTTTCCTGCGTACCGTCGTACCCTTTGCATTGGTAATCCGCTATAGTTGTAGCTAGGCCAGAGAGTAAGACCCAGAGACTGTCATCTGGACAATGGCAGGCAGTAGCCTTTGCCGTAGTGATGGCCTTGCCAGAGCATGTTGTTGGCTTGGGTGGATCAGCATAGGTCGTTGGTGTGCAAGCTCCCATCGACCAGGTTTTAGTATACTTAGTACCTCCAGATGTCTCGGCTGGGCAAGTAGGTAGATCTGCCGAGAACACGGAAGGGCTGAGGGATATGATGAGAAGTAGGGGCAGAAGCAATGAGGAGCTGACCTCAGTAGACATTTTGTAGCTTGATAGGAACGCAAAATTGGGGGCTGAATCATAGAATCAAAACAACGTCCTTGAGAGATAGATATACCAGAACGGTCCAAGACTGTAATTTCAGGACTCATCTTTGTGACACTGGAGGCTCTATGGATAGACGCCGTCCAAAATGCGAAACACATTATCTGCGCTTGAATTTATTGTATCAAATGGTGGACCAAAAATTCAATAACAAGACAAGGTTGGTGATGTGACAGAATCATTGGTAAATAAGGCTGAGCAATCGTGCCACGATTTGGACAGCCAAGAGAATGTTGGTCCTCCATTTGACGCGGCAGTCAAAGCGTTCAACGAGATCCATCGATGGTGTAAGAGTTGGACTAGGCGAACAGCGTCTGACGGATAGGAATGAGCCTAACGAAGCACGCGACACGTCAGGTATCTGTTGGTACAAAAGATCAGGATTCGGGGAAGCCGATTGACGTGGACAGCCAAGGCACTATTGGAAAGCTTGAGAAAGACAAGAATGCTAAGTTCTTATACGCAGGCCTTGGCTTGTGTGAGGCAGGATTCTCTGCTAGAACCACATAATAAGCCAAGTGAAAGTAATGACTGATCGAGGGCATCTTCCTGACGTGCCTCATGAGGTCTAGGTTTTAGCCTGCAACAGTCAAGAGCCGCAGTCGGGTGATCAACGCAAGATGGTGGGGTTGTCTCCACTATGTTCTTCGTTGATGCGAAACCGGACTGTTCTAGGGAAGAGATGATACGAGAACATATCAAGAAACTCGCAAGATAGCACCTGAACGCTGATGTCTCATATCTTGGAATCTCGGTGTTGGATCATCAGTCAGAGAAGAACACTTGCTGTGGGATGTCCTTCCAGAATATCTCGTTACGGTTTTCGCTGGACAAGGGCACCTTTGCAAAGGACCGTTCTTGCGAAATGGGCCGTTATGGTGTCGTAAGTCGACACCAACATTCGATGGCGTGCGAGGCGCTAAGGGCGTGATGTATGCTGTTACCCCATGGTATGATAATCAACCATGACCGCCTCTGGGCAGTGCAGGTCAGCTAATCAGTTCCACCCTCCAAGGGAAATAGTCGTCAAGACCACTTTGGTGGATCAATCATGGGCCTTGTATCCTATCAACGCCCGCTGAGTCACCCAAGTTAGTGCGTATCAGATTGGCACTCGCGATCCTCTAGGCTGGACAGAGTAGCCGCATGCGGTAAAGTCATATCTGTAACTGCCCTTATTCTCCTTCAGTGGGTTTGATTGACAGGGCGTAGCAACTTGTCCGTCAAGCTAGACCTTTATGCACATCATAAGCGTGGGGGAAGCCTCGCGGTCAGCGTAGGGTTACGCAAGCTTCCATTAGTCTCTTAGGTCGCCGGTTCCTGCGCCGACGTGATAGCTCAGCCTGCGAACGTGATATCGTTGTCGCGTTGGCTACTCAGGCCTGGACTGCGGCGGAGTTCCAGGGAAGTCCGAGCTCGTTGAGGGTTTCAAGTCCATAGTCTGATACAATGAATCCTGAGCTAAGGTCACGTCTTTGTTCTTCAAGCAATGTTCAACTTCATGCAAGTCAGCCTCGCAGGCAGATAATAATACCGGAGGTGACGAGGTTTGACGTAATTGGACTATCGAGCACCGAATAGAATACAGGCACAGATTACGTGTGTTCGCAACGAAGCATTGACCGTGTGATCATTCCTACGAGCCAGTAATCTAAGTGCAGCGTCATCCGAGATGGTCATCGAGTGTTGAAGTAGTCTGACTGGCGCTGGCCGTTGCTCAAAAAAAACATGTGGAAGTGTATCCTGGATTCTGGGAGTCAGGGCCCATACTTAGGATGTCCGCTTTCCAGAAACAGCTTCAAGTCCGGTAACTGCATCGCAAAACAATGTGGGCTCAGTGTCTACTGCCTCGACCGCCACTGCAGGTCTCGCTCTGTGGTCTCATGTTCGTGAATCTTTTGTCCTTGTTAAACAAGTCAGACAGGCTGTCAGAATAGTGATTCGAAGTAGTAAAAGGATCTCAGGTATGACCTCGAACCGTCAAAATACCTTTGAGCCTCCTGTCAGATTTCTTGATGGAGGATACGCCATAAAGCCGATGCTGAGATGGTGTAGGTAGAATTTGTAAAGTTCATATACCCCACTCCATGGCAAGTCTTGAGTTGCGAGGTACATGTGAAAGTATACGTTCTCCAAGAGAATACCACAGTGTCGAGCCTACACCATCTTGTAATAACCATCGTTTTTTGATAGGCGCGTTGGGCAAAAGATTTCCAAGTAATTCAAACAGGTGGCAGTCAACATGACTAAACCAGCCAGTCCTGGTCCAGGAAGGAAACTTTCCTACGTTCCATGCTTTCACATGGGTTCCATACAAGAGCGAGATCCAGTGCCGCGATCGGAAGTCTTGGAGCTGTCAAAATGCTCTTCGAACGGTGAGACAATGGCGCCAGTTGCGCTAAGAGGTATCGGGACCTCGTGTCGACCTCCTTGCCGGGTAAATCTCGACCAAATCGGTACAGGTCTAGTATAGGCGCTTGAATTGCTCCTTTCCTGATACATTCCCGATGGTGCTAAGCTCAGAAAGATGTTCTTGATAGTAATCTTGGTTGCCATGTCGGTCATATGCTAAAACGCTTCAACTCCGCCATCGAGTATCGTCTCACACTGTGAGTGCTCGTTGCAATGGAAGTAGACATGTGTGGAAAAGAGGGTATCTCTTTTCTCCGTGGATCCCTCCTGAATCCTTCCACAATATACCATGCTTGAGCAAAGTCCATTGGGAGCTGTGCCACCCACTCTCCTCAGCTGGAAAAGGTCGTCATGAATTTCGTCGACGGCAGATCCATCGCGAATGGTCGGCTCAACGCATAGCCTCCCTCACAACCTGACTGCCAAACCACTCCCTCATATCCTGCACAAGCAGCTCCGGCTGTTCCACAGCAGCAAAATGCCCACCGCGATCATGTTCCCTGAACCACTGTAAATTCGTCGACGTCCTAATCCAATCCAACGGAAAGCTAGTGGTCTCCTTCGGAAACTCACTATACCCAGTTGGCACATCGCACCACTTCCCGAAAACGTTGAGTCCGCTGTACGGCCCCTTCTCTTGAAAGCTCTCCTTGTAGTACCTGAAGCCCGGCGTGGCGCCTTGCATCCAGTGCATCATTACGAACGTGAGGATCTGGTCGTCCGGCCAGCTGTAATGCTCGTTGTCGGTCCAGGCGTGGTATTTCTCCAGAAACCACGCCAGTAGGCCGATTGGGGAGTCACCAAGCCCGAAGGCGAGAGACTGCGGTTTTGTACCCTGGACCATTGCGTATGCCATGTGTTCTTTCATAAATGATTGTGCCTTTTCTAGCATCTTCTGCTCTTTCTTTGTGTAGAGGACGGAGTTGAGTATCAGGCGGCCGAAGACCAAGGGATTCTTGTAGAAGGGCGGTGGTCCCATGACCATGAAATTGGTATGGCAAGCTCTGACATGTTCGGGGTACATGTGTGCCATGATGCGTGTGACCCAGGAGCCGAAGTCACCGCCTTGCGTTACGAATTTCCTGTAGCCCAGGACGTCTACCATCAGGGTCTTGAAAGCCATTGCTGTCTTAGACGGGCTGAACCCTGAATTCTTGGGTGCATCGCCGGGGCCGAAGCCAGGAAGGGAGGCAATGACGATGTGAAATGCCGGAGTATTGTCATTGGGAGAGGATATGAGAGGTTTGATGAGCTCACGAGCTTCGAGGAAGGAGCCAGGCCAGCCAGCGACGAAGAGTAGTGGGATAGCGTCTGAGGACAAAGAGGGTTCATGGACGTAGTGGAAGGTGTGGGGACCGTAGTCAGGCACGTCTATTTCGACTTTCCATTGCCTGAAGTCTGCATTGATAGCTGCCTGGCAACTCGTCAGCAATGGATATAGAACGCAAAGACTGCTTCTTGAGGTTCATCGCTGTAAGTAGCCTAACAGCGAGTTCATACCTCTTGAGCCCTCCAATCGAAGCCATCAAGCCAGTATTGAGCCAATCGTTTGACCTCTTTCACTTTCGCACCGTGACTCCAATCATCGTCCCCCAGGTCTTCAAGCTCCTCTGGGAATCTAGCCAGCCTCAGCTTTTCCTTCGTTGTTCGAAGCAGCTCCTCATCAACATGTAGACTGTAACTGTATGGTTCCTTCATCGTCGAATTCCTGCGAATCAGTAGGCGACTGGACAAAGTAGGCCTGAGGAAGGAGTCAAAAGGAGTAGGATCAATAGCATGGTCAGCATCAAGTACTTTGCGAGCGTAGTTCATCCACCAGAGCTCCCTTTCTACCGAAACTCCATGGGAGGCTGGCTCACACCAGCTGAAATGATGAGCACTATTGCAGACACATACACATGTATTGGCCGAGGGATGTGGAGTGAAATTCCTTATCGACATTCTCATTAGCGAGAACGAGCGCGCAGATTCTCCGGGGCCTGGTGGGGTTGCGGCACCCCCAAGATCGTCACTCAAATTTTCTTGCGGGGTCAAATTCAGCGATTGAATATGCGCGTTCTGTCTGAGGATAGAGATCTATCCTGCGAATCTTGATTATTGATTTGCGAAATGTACCTAAGTAGTGGAGTATCGAATTACACGCCCCAACGATGCCGCTAAACCAGATGTATCATCTATAAGACGCTGTCAAGTGTAGGATCATTCAAAGCTAGATCCTTCCGATGCAAAAAGCGGATGCACAGCCATCTTCTTCAACAAGGCCTGGTAGAGCACAAGCATAGTCCCACTCTGAACGCTCGTCCATACTGCACGTGGTCCTACGCCTCTGAACAGGCCCATTATGCCCTCGGTCTTGTACACAAGCTTCAGCCCCGTCATGACGGACGATGTATCTAGCTTCACCGCATTGCTCTTTTGGAATGTAGTATTGGGCGAGGATGTGGAGATGGGTCGACGTTGCTCTTTTGGTAGGCCTGACCGAGCAGTCACCTCTTCAGCCTTTCCTCTCGAGATGGACGTGAGCGGCCCAGAGGTATCTGTCGGGTTCACCTGCGTCTGTATCCTTGTTTTCACAACGTCGAGCGGACAGGTGATCACACCAGCGAGACCACCAGCGCTCGCCGCTGTTGCAATCTCAAGCCCAATACCAATCTCTCGGCTCTGCTTGTATTTCTTCGCCCAAGCTTGTTCCTGCTCATAGAAGGCGAATTGTAACGCGGAGAAAGGCAGATCGCGAAATATCGTCGCTTTGTATCCGTAGAATAGCGCGCTCATGCCTTCCGTTCGTACAATCGTGCGTGCCGCGTCCCAGAATCCTCTGTAATTATAGCCCGAGTAGAAAAAGGGGTTCTTGTATCTGCCTTGTAGCTGCAATCTGGTTTTCAACACCTCAGAAGGTACGTATACGAATGATGCTGCGAAGTCCGCGATGAAACCGCTCGCAAGATAGGCTAGACTGTTGTGGAGACCATAATCAATCAAGTGCCGCTTACTCCATTCGTACGTCCCGAAAAAGATGATGGTACCTGGGAAAGACCCGAGGAAGGCAGGTGTGACGCCGGCATAGAGTCCACGCCGGAACCCTTCTTGTGTGAAGATCTTCCAATACGCCGACTTTAAGCTGCCGTATCTTGGAGGGATGTGAGGATCGCCCTGCTGCCGGGTCTTTACTGTATCGATACTGTGCATGAGCATGTCGCCTGATGAGCCTCCAACGCCACCTGCAAGCATGCACTGTAGGCCTAATGAGTCCCCGTTTCACGTGGATCACCGAGGGAAGGTGTAGAACGTACATGCCAATATGGTGATCGCATGTCTTCCTCCTCTTCCATGATCTCTGCCTGAGGTCTCGTCTTGCCATTAATGAGTGTGTAATCGCTGTCGGTGCCATGTGTGAGGAGATTGTGCTGGATTGGAGATGGACTGGTAGTTGCAGATGGGAGGAGTCCGGCAAGCCAGGACATAGCCCAACAGGGCTGCGGAAATGACTTAGGCTACAGGGGCACTTTTCAAAGCCATCGCACAATCATCCGGGCAACACGATGTACAAGAGAGGAAGGAGAATTGAAGTCAGAATAGACTCGTGATGTTCTGCTCCGAGCTTGTTGTTACTCGTTCGGGGTATTATTTTTTACGTACTCGATCTAATCTAATCAATCGTCTTGGCAGACTTGGTTTTGGTAGATTTTCATGCACTCATTATTATCTCCCATCATTTAATTTACAAGACCAGCTGAGCATAAGGATTCGCAAAACATCCATTTCTTTTCCCACTAGCTCCAATGACTACTCATCTCCCATGCCATACGGTACTTCGTCTGGGCAATCTGGTGAACAGCCGTCTTCGCATTCCTTTTGACAGCCTTTAGCAAACCCGAGCGACAAGAAGCAAACGAAGCAATTGATGCGCTTTGTCAGTACCCCATCTCTCGCAATTAAGTCGTTCTCGGCGAAGATTGTAGAGGCCGAGGCTGCTGCAGACGTATCTGCAGGGGGTGCTGAGATGGCGAGGGGAAGGAGGGCGGCGAGTATTGTCGCGATGAAGATTGAGATGCGCATTTTTAGTTGTGGCAAGCTAGAAGCTATTAGAACGAATTGCAAATTTACTAGTAGTAGTGGAATTGAATTGTTTATGACATGCCTGGAGTGCTTGGTAAGAAGCTGTACAATGAAAAATACGTCTGGATGGTGATAGTGAGCTCGAAAATGGAGGGAATCGAATGAGTGTGTTACTTTTCCAGAGGGGAAATGCTTCTTAAATGATGAGAAAATTGAGTTTGCCACAACCTGGGTCAGTCCAGCCATGAGTACCCACAGTGGAACAAATGTGTGACCCTTTTGGTGGCTACGGGATCGCGTCTAAGTCAGGCTTGTATGCTCTCTATTGTGCTTCCATCAATTAAATGTAAAGAGTGTCTGGGAATAATGACCCGCACCATTCCCCTCGCCTATCTTCGTGAAATGATTCCTGGCATAATTTAAATAGGTACATAATTTCAACCAAAGTCCCGTTGTGGTACGAATTAGGAAGTCCTTGACGGCAATCAATAACAAGGACAGCCGTGAGCAAGGCCGAGTGAGAAGAAACATTTCCATTGGTTACAGCTGTAGCGTTCAACCAGCATCCCAGCTCTCGGGATCAAATCACTGTTGACTGTCGAACAGATGGGAGTCGTCGTGGAGGTATCTGTGGTCGCAGCATTCGTCAACAAGGGCATCCGGACCCAAGGCCCAATGTAAAGAAGCATTTCCACCCACTACAGCGCTTCATCAGCATCCCATCTCTCGCGGCCAAGTCGTGATCGGCGAAGGGGGTGGAGGTCGCTGGGGACGTATCTGCGGGATGGGCCGATATGGCGAGAGGAAGGAGGAGTATGGCGAGGATCGCTGTGGTGGAGATTGGGATGCGCATTTTGATATGATTTGAGCTGGAACTTGTTAGAGCTTGTAGCTTGAATAGAGAGGGGAGGTATCTTGTGCGGGACTCACAGTATGTCGCCGGGAGAAAGACGTACAATGAAGGATATGTTTGAGTAGATATGGTAAGTCCGAAGATAGGATACAAAGAATGAGTGTATTGCTTGTAGGAGTTTTGTGAGCGTCAGAAGGTCCAGCCTAGGAAAAGAATGTGTCTGAAATAATGAGACAATTGAATCGAAAATGAAAAAAGCTGGGTTCATCCAGCAATAAGTACCCCATGGGAGGCAAAGACTTTGGCTTGTACGACGGGCATGTTGCATCTGATCTGAGCTGTCTCAGAATGCGAAACTTAGTATATGTGAATCAAGTCAGGGAAATGAGAGTCATTCGTTCTTGCTGTCACTGCCCAGTGGACTGGTCAAAAAGATGGCCACCCAGCAGAGACGTCGTACGAGATTCTGGCGAAGCAAACGCTCGATGCCACAGGGCATGAGGCTTCAGATTCCCCTGTGCTTGTTGACAGACGTGATAGTTCCTGGAGTCATACGAGCTGGTTGGCATGGAGTGCCTCCGCCTCCGTGGTCACGCGCGTCGACATTACCATTGGACGTTTCAGTCGCATCGGGTAGCTTCTTGACTTCTGCAAAGCCAGATGATATGATCGTGAACTTGCTGTCAACAAAGAACGCAGGCGAATCATATTTCAATGCGCCTTTAGATCCAACGACTTGAGATGAACAAGGCATTGCTTGCAACCTCTCAGAGACACAACATGCCAATGAAATAAACACAGAGAGTCTTTCCTTGTCAGAACTGTACGACGCATATTGGCACATGATCAAATGGATCGTGGTTTGGGGACAGCATTGGCTCTTATAACCTGGCGCAAATCATTTGGCAGGGTTGCAAATGACGGTCGCACTGTTCTGTAACATCAAAAGAAGCTATCACCAAGACCTAGGGCAGAGTTGCCGCTCAAATGAATATGATTTAGATTCATGGACACTGGATGACAGCTGGCGATAGCATCACGTTGCTAGCGTCGAATGGGAGGACGAATGCGTGCTTCTTCAACGCATAGAATCTGCGCCTCTAATTTATGGCGTACTTTAACACTGGCTGGCTGCTCGGTCACATGATCAAGTCAGGCTCTCCTCATTAGCCAATATAAAACGCCCGGTTTCTATGGCGGCAACACGAGTGGTTTGGACAGCAGTAATACAAACTTTTGCCCTAAACCTCTTGGCAGCGCCCCGTCTCTTGCCGGATCTGCCTCTTTTCCACAAGGCATCTCTAGGTTAGGCATAGCTGATGATCGACACTGGGGGGGCCTGCATGCAAGCTTTCTACAGTATAGCCGTGTCCCACAAAAGACCCCCCGAGGCATACACTGATGCTTGCGGCAGAGCGGCGCATACATTCCTGCCTAAAGGAGTTGTCGCAGACCTCATTCAACCTCAGTCCATCGACAAATCGTTCTCACGACTATTCTGCCGCTGCTAGAGCTGTTCTAGAGGCAGATATATTGTCATTTGCAATCTGATGTCTATCAACATGACTTTCAATCGCAACCCAAAGAGCGGCCCATCAAAAAATTGCGCTGCTCCAAATTGACAGAAAGCATTACTCCTGACAGAGAATTTCAACCTTTATCACATCAATCCAAGGAAATTTTTAGGCCAAAATAATCCGAAACGAAGACGTGATCATATACCGCATCGATATGTCGACATCCACGATGGCCAAACGGCAATTTTCTGCTACTCATTTGACCGTGGATGCACTTCATTGCGCCATCATTCATATGTCCCTAGACATTTGCTGACTCTTAGGCTGCCCCAGAGCTCGTTCATTTGTATCCATCTTATCTTGATGATGAGTAGATGACACAGAGCTGTCACCCACCTCATTGACACCGGAGCTATCACCCTCTTCGTGATCATGCCTGTCAGAGCCACCCGGATGCCGAGAAGAGGTGCCATTTTCAAGAGCTTGGGAGTTCATTTGAGGATCATACACCCTTAAAGGACGACTGACGTCTAGAGCTGCCTCGACGTCCCTACCCCCAACATCAGCATCCTCCTCTTGACCTCCAAAGCCTTCAAGCTCGATTTCGGGTGTCGCAATGGGCCCGGTTGGCACTTGAAAGAGTTATTAGCATGTGTCACAAGAGCTGGGACGCCAATCAGAGAAATGCGACCGATGCTTACATCCTGATGAGCTATGCTCTTCACCTCCAGCTCGGCCGCTGGCCCCACACCACTTCGTCAAGCGTGGTACAATGTCCCACACGGTAGCAATGAGGAAGAACGTCCCAAAAACTATGAAGACCTTTACCACTGCATCGAACCAGGCGCTTTGCTTCCAATTCTGAGCATTCTCCGCCGACATCATGATGAGCACTGGCTTTGGGTGAGAGGGTTGGGATGGCTTCTTGAGAGTCAAAAAGAGTTTGGAAGTGCTCTATGAATACGATGAAAGCTGGCAGATGATTATGTGTGCTGCTGCTCAAAGCTTCAGGAGAGACGCACTTTGTCGAAATTGGAGGGTAGCAGGTTCGGGCTGTCGCTGCTACCCCGCCGAGGCCCCGGACTGTTGATGAAATGACTGACCACTCCCATATTTCCACAATGGGAACACAATAAGAACTGTCCACCACAGTTTTCTTGACAATCTCTATGTTGGCTCTTTTGTCATTGAGATGTTTTATGACGCTTTGTGCTTCTGTAATGCTCAAATGACAGTCTGAAGATAGTCGCGTCGTCCGCCCCTTGTGTCGCTGATGGCGTTCTACAAAATCAAATCTCGTCAAGGAAGCTCGCAACCGTCATACTATGTCAGATTCTATCATGCTCTCTGCTGTTCATACCCATGTGCTCTTCACGTACGACGACCGAAAGGTCAGCGACCCCTTATGGTTTGATCACCCAACATGACTCTGTCCCCGCTTGCTTGATTGAAATGGGTCTATTTTACAATGGCGATTTCGCGTTGTCAAGGCTGAACCTGGAGGATTGCTAACCCAATCTAGATGCTCGTTATCAATGTCCCAAAAAGGCTCCATGCCGTCACAGCGCAACAGTTTAGACCAGGTTTCTTCGCTACCGCCCGGCGAACTGTCCGGTACAGCATGTCCGTCACCGCAACGACAACCATCCTTACATGTCGCGCAGCTTAGATAAGACTCACGCCAGAACTGATGCTCAGAGATACGTGTGTTGACGCTGGTTTGGGGTCAGCTACATGCCGTAAGTTCTTCACACTTCTGTCCATAAAATGAGAAAGCAACCTCCAATTCGTAAGCGCAGTGTTCAAGACTTCTGTGCTTACTGCATTCTCGTCACATCTTCTACGGTCTGAAGGGTTGGCTTGGGAGAAAAAGGCTGTCGTCGACAAATGTTCTAATCTGTCCACTGGTTGCAGAAGACTACGGTCAATGTTGAACGGCATAGCGCAGTCAGATTGTCCTAAATTTCGACTTCACAAGTCGAAACGCTAGACGCATCGATTGTGAAGTCTGAATAATCAAAGATCGCTTTGAGCTGCAATATCCCTCTCGCTGGTGGGTGTGGTGTCCGTTTTAGTGGGAACTACACACGCCTTACAGGGCAAGCGATTGTAAGCCATAGTCAATACAAATACCCTGGTATTTGCGTCACGTTGGTATACTAACACACTCTGTAGGGCCACCACCTGGGGAACATGATATCCGCGAATTCATTCAGCAATATCCTGAAGATGAAGAAATGTGGGATATTAAAGATGGGCAAGTCTGGTCCTCATCAGATATTGAATGCCTATGCGACCTTCTCACCTCAATGATACAATATCGGCCGTCAGACCGGCCCACCGCCGCTGAGGTACTTCGACATCCTCTGTTTCAGCGCTGTCCAAATCCTACCGGCTGGTCAGCCAGCAGCCTTTAGACAAAGGCATGACGCCTGGCATAAAAGGCCCCTCGAATGACGGTGCACCACGTGACCTCTTAATCACTATACCATACCATTGAAGTGACTTTCAGCATTTTCGAGCGGCAGATTATCTTGATTGGTCTTTCATATACTGATGCTAATGTGTAACAAAATTAGACTCGATATCATCAAAGATCTTGTGAGGCAAGCGAGACCGATAGTACAACACAGCCTACATCTTCAATCTTGGCGGTTATATTCCCGTTGGAATTACGCGCATTAGCCTCTCAATGCCCATTTGAAACGACCTTACCAAGTTTGACAACCGCTTTTCCCATGCGACATCATCAAATTGACCTTCAGCCTCCAATGACGGGCCGCACGTCGGAGGTTTTGACTAATAGCCAAGGGCATCCAAGTGCGCATCCCGCGGGCAAGATGGAGTCGCCACCCACGTTTCGCAGATTGCCACCCACTTCAGCAGCGGGTTTGTTGTGCACTGGTTCTTTTGTGGCGCATGGTATTGTTATTTAAAGCAGTAGAGGATGGGAAAATCCTGGGCAACAGTGGTGACAGAGTGAGTTCATGCGTATATTGTAGTGAAGCCGAACCCTGACAAACTTGGATATCAGAATATTTACTAACAACCAGCATCTTTGCTCGATCCATATCTTATGACAGGTAAAGAACGCAAGCTTCCATACATGTCAGCAGTCGACCATCTACGGCAGGGCGAAATGAGGCTGATGAGCTTGTTTCGAAAGCGTTGATGAAGGTTCAACATCAATGTATCAACCTTCCCGCATCCGACGTCATGTGTTGGATTCATTATTTTTGGCCTCGCCTCGCTAGGAGCAGTACATATACTATGGGCTTCTTTGAAATGACTCTTCACATGATAAGATGGTCTTTCTTCCTTCGAGCCTGCTAACGGTAATTCTTGCCTCTCAAACTGTCAGCTCATATGTTCTCGATGTCGAAAGAGTTGATCAACCAGCGGGCAAGGTGCAACCTCTCCAGCAAAGAACGGGTGAGTAAATAGGATTTGATTTTCTACCAACTCAGTCACTGCGGCTAACTCGAAGGCGTACAGACACTTCCCGACGTCCTCAAGCAGATTGGCAGAGTAGATCACCGCCGAGACACGCCTCTTTGAAAAGTAGAGATGACCATCTACTCGAGAGACGGGATACCTCCTCAGATGACGATGAGGATCCACAAGACCGACCCCATCCACCCGCGAATATCGTCTGCAACGATTTCACATACGGCGTACCCCTAGAGGATGACTGCAATACCGTAATAGGAATGATGGAAGCTGTCATTGAGCCCGAAATCCTGTACGAGCTGGGCGAATGGGGCAACGACATTGCAAGCCGACAAGACCACACTGTCAATTTCTTCTACACTCCCTGGCTTCGCAGTAGCGGTACGCTCTCCTCTCCCAGAAATAGACCGTGAGGTTGCTGACATTCAAAGGAACATGCGCCATCCTCGTGGCGATGCTCGCCGACGAAGTCCCAGGCAATAACCCCTTGACCGACCTCGAAGACCCAGACTACCTCTTCCATCGCATGCACACGCTCATCCAGACCTGCGTGACGGCAGGAAGTGGCGGGTGGACTAAAGCTGGTAACTTCCCTCCTCTCCTCCACCAGCCCCTTCTTCATCCCCATCCCTTTCCTCTCCGCCCTCACCCTCCCCCTCACCCCTGCCCACTTCCCCTTCCCCCTCCCTTTCCCCCTCCTCCTCCTCATCACCATCACACTAACCCCCCTCCCCCCTCCCAGGTTTCCAAGACGAAGCAATAGGCGTGCACATCTTCGGCATCCCGTCACGCTTCTCCTTGCTCCAAAAACTCCCCGAAACCTGCCCCGCCGACATCTCCACCTCCACCACCCCTTCCTCCACCCAACCCGAATCCTGCACCTCCCCGCAATCCCAGCAACGCGCCGATCCCCGAACGCCTACAAAACCAGTCCCCAACCGCCCCGCGCTGACGCCGCAGAAATGCGCGGGCTCTTGCGGGGGAGCTAGTGACTGCAATGCTGGCGGGGGCGGGGGCGGGGGCGGGGAGGACGACTGCGTCTGCGCAAACACCAAACAAGGAATACCCCTGTCAGCGAGCTGGGGCACGTTCGCGTGTATGTCGCGGGCGGCGGCGGTGGGTGCTGTGGCTTTTGCGGGGGTGAGTGCGGCAGGGGTAGGGGGAGGGGGAGGGGGAGGGGGAGGGGGATATACGAATTGTCGTGGTCGGTGTCTTCTTAGTGATAATGGGACTTTGGATGCTGCTGGGAACTCGACGGTGGGGTTGGTGTCGGGGTCAGGGGGTGTGCGTGCAATTGCACGTACGTCTCGCCCGGGTGCTGTTTTGCTGCTGCTGATGGGATCGTGCATGAAGATGCGACGCAGAAGGTGAATACTGTTTTGATGCCACAGGAGGGAGGGGGGAAGTGCTGCGATACCCGGACGGGGAATTGGACTGATTTGGCTGTCGTGAGGGATGGGGATAGTGATGGGGGTGGAGGGAGTGGGGATGGGAAAGGGGCGGTTGCTAATGACTGTGCGAAGCTTGGGGGGAGTAGGAGTGCGGTGGCTGGGTCGGGGGTGATCAATACCTGAGATTTTTCAAAGCTCGTTTATTTATGTTGACAAGACATCTCAGTCGATTAGTTGGTCGTGCCATGAACGCACGTACGCACGCTCCATTCATTCATTCATTTCCCCTTCTTGCCAAATTTCGAGAAGAGACTGCCCTTCCTCTCCCTCGACTTTCCCCCCTCCCTCCCCTCCACGCTCTCACCCCCCTGTCCCCCGCTGAACTACCTCCTCCAAACACACCCCCAACCACGCTTCCCTGCCTCACCTTCCCCCCAGCTTCCTCTCCTTCGCATACCGTTTCACCAAGCTCACAATCTCCGGACTCCTCCTCACCGCCCGCTCCGCCGCTTTCTCCGCATCCCGTCCCTCCCCATCCTTCGCAAAGCAATCCGCCCCTCGCCCCAGCAACAGCCTCACCATCCCCTCATTCCTGCACTCAATCGCCGTATGCAGAGGCGTGCGGCCGACGTAATCGCGACACTCGACGTCAGCGCCGTGGTCGAGCAGGAGGGGGATCAAAGGAAAGTTGTCGCGCTCGATGGCGTAGTGCAGCGGGGATTTGCCGTGGTGGTCTGGGGCGTGGGGGAGGCTTTTGCCGACTTGGCTGTTGCGGGTGCGGGTGAGGGGGATGTTGTTACTGGATTGGCCTCTGGTAGCGCACCTGGTCTTGCGAAGGCCGAATATGGCGGTGGGGGCGGCGACGTCGTGGCGCTGACGACACTATCCCTATGCACCGCACCGCCGTTGAGAAGGGACAGTGCAACGCCCTCGCCCCCGTGATGGAAGGAGGCTAGATGGAGAGCCCGCCAGCCGAACTCGTCTTCGGCGTCCACGTCCGCGCCGCGGGAGAGGAGCAGGTCCACCACGGCTTCGTGCTGGTTCTCCGTCGCGCAGGCGAGCGCGGTGCGAGAGGTCGGGTTGCCGGCTTCGATGTCGGCGCCGCGATCGAGGAGCAGGCGTACGATGCCCTCTTGACCTTTTTCGGCGGCGCGGAGAAGGGGGGTCCACCCACCCCGGCCACTAGTGGAGGAGGCATCGGTGTCAGAGGGGTTAGAGGAGGAGGCTGAACCGGTGGTAGTTGCTTGGGAGGCGTTGCGATCGTGCTTGCTGCTATGGTTAGCTGCTTTGGGGCGGAACTTTTGAGGCGAACGGGCATCAATGTCGGCACCGTTTTCGAGAAGGAGGTCCACGAGGGCGCCGTGCCCCATATCTGCGGCTTTTGCTAAGGCCGTCCAGCCCGCTGTCAGCGAGTCGACGGCCGCTCCCCGGCTGAGCAGCACACCGGCGATTTTCGCCTGGCTGGTGATGATGGCGTGCATGAGGGGTGTGATAGACTGCGAGCCGCGTGTCTCGACGTCTGCGCCGTTGGTGAGGGTTTGGTGGACGAAATCGTCGTCGCCAGAGATGATGGCATTGATGAGGGGCGTTTTGCCGGATTTGGTGAGTGCGTTCATGTCGACGCTTAGATCGGGTGTCCAGGGTACGCGTTTGGTACCGACATGTTTGAAGATCTGGGGCGCTGTTGGGAGATTCGAGGTGGTGCACATAGAAGGGGAGGTGGCATTGGCAGAGGCAGAGGGATGCGATATGGAGTGAGGGTGTAAATTTCGAAAGACCTGCGCAGTGGAGGTGTTGCCCATGCGGTCGTAGATGAGAATGAGCAGGTTCGCGGACTCGGAGATCAGCATGTGGCCTTTCCCTAAGGTTTTCTCACGGCCAATGTATGCGCGTTTCGCAAACTTCTCTGCGTCCGCAAGGCGATTCTGGGCGACGTAGACGGTGGAAAGTGTGTGATAGAGACGCCATTTGCGATTACTTTCCGTCTTCTCCTGCTTCAGCAAGTGGTTCAGGATTGATTTGGCACGATCATATTGCTGAGATTTCGTAAGGATCTCGATGAGTGTTTCCTGCATTTGACATTCGTTGTCGAAGGGTATGCCGAGTTGCGTTTCGCGATCTTCGAGATATTTCATTGCTTGTTGATGGGCCTTCTCTGCTTTGGGCCAGTCACTCACCGACATCGCACGCTGCACTTCTTCATTCTGAGTTCTGATGAGTTCAGTGTAGACCGCTGGAGGGAGATTTTCCTGGAAATCGGGCTCGGGATCAGAGTACTCGGACTCGACGCTATCCTGGACTTTCTCCTCATCGTCGTCAAACGGATCAAGAAATTGGCGCTCCTTTGGTCTGTGCTCAAAGCGGCGGAGAGATGTCATGTCGACAGCGTTTGATGGTATCGTTGGCGCTGACGAAGTTCCCTCTGGTAATGACCGCTTCTCGTCTTGGAAGTCCGCGAACCCTCTTATCCTCGTCACTTGAACGATGCTCTCTACAGACTCAAGGCAACGCGTAACATCAGATCGCAAGCCGTTAGCGTCAGCATTTGAGATGTGTAGCTTTCCGTTGACCAGATCTCTTGCGAGTCCTAGATATTTCTTCAACTCTTGAAGTGAATGCGATGTACTTTGCCGCAGAGAGTAAATATCATGCTGACGCGCGTTTTGCTTCCATTGATAGACACTGTGCGGCGTATGAGACAAGTTGTCAAACGGTGCCACATGTAGCGCCTTGGACCTAAGAGAGCACTTACAGATCAAGGACATTGATGGTCAATTGGGACACCTTTGTATGAACAGTCAAGTGAGAGCGGAAAGTGGCACATGTTTCCGCAGTCAACAATTGCCTGGCTTCAGCCTTGTAGTCACTCAATGGGTCATCAGGCGCTGTCGATCGGAGGAAATCATACAGCAGCGAAAGAATGGTGCGACATCTATCTGCCAGGCGCGTTACGGACTCCGAGTGGTCTTGTTCAAGTTTCGTATGGGGTGGCTGCGATATCTGTCTTTGTTTGAACAGAACATAGTATTTCAGGCACATCTGGACATCCAAGCTGAGATTCTCGGCGCGAACGCTTTCATCGAGTGACGGCAGCGGCCTGCTCTGCAGAGCTTCCACAACGCCGTTGCACAAGGCTACGATACTCGCTGGCCTTATCTGGGCTGTTGCGCTGTTCATCTTTCTGTAAATTGGTTGCAAATTCTGTGCCATTGATAATTGCGCCAGAATGTATGCACGAGGTGCTTGAGGCATGGATGGTACCCCTCCCCTGTAAGCATGACCGGGGCACAGCTAGTGAAAAGGTTGCCGTGCTATGCCAAATGCTACCACTTTAAGCAGTACCAAGAGTTATATATATATACAATTCAATCCTAGCACCTGCCCTATGAGCCAATTTCTCGGGTCTGCAAAAGCCCTGTATTTCGATTCGAGGGGGCTTGAACTGGCTACTTCTCGACGTTGAAGCAGCTTTATCGGCCAAGTTATAGGGGCCTCTGCCCTATTGCTGCCCGAAAAGCACAGCAATAGGCTCCACTTCCGCCCGCCCAGGACTAGTCTGAAATAGTGAGATGGTGGGATTCCCATCTTCGAAGTCTGATTTAGACCAATTTAGATAGTATAATTTAATTTTGATGGAGTTCCGGCGCGGCAATCACTGAACATCAAAAGGCCATATCTTCCTTAACGTTTCCTCGCTCATATCATGATCGCCAGCGGCCTCCGCTTCTCTCACGCTCTGGAGGAATACCGCAAATGCTCTTTTGTGCTCTGCTTCAGTCGCTTCATAAGCGTCTGTCGGGACCCATCCATCGTCAGCTGTGTTGAGGACCTCAGCCAGCTTTGACTTCATCTGCTGCGCCTCCACATAAGCTTCATACTCTTTGAGATAGATGACTTTCTGATCCGCTGTGGGTATGGGATAGGGGCATGAACCAGGAAGGCCGAGCGCATTCCAGCGAAGCGCAACTTCGAAGAGCTCTTGTCGGAAAACCACAGCACCATCGACCCATGTCCGTTGGCTGTAGCGAAATGGCCGTATCATGTCCTTGTCAAGAGCCCTCGCAACCCATATTTTCGGAATAAGGTATTGCAGGCAGGCGGAGAAGGATTTGCTGCAGAGTTCCGCGTCTGGGTCCGTAGGTGCATCTTGCTCTGTCGAGAACTCGGATTTGGCGTTGGTGGCAAAGTCTGGGTTGTGGTTTGAGTACTCGAACGCGGGCTCGATACTGGATGACTGCCAGTCGATCAGATCTGTGACAAGGGTGGGGTCGTCGTCGGAGACGAATATATTTCGTGTGTGTAAATCGGGATGAAACAGGGTTGGAGTAGCAATTTCCCTCATCTGATGATGGTCAGACATTTGATGAATCACATCGCGACCGATGGTGAGAAGTTCAGTGTGCGTTGCAATAGTTCCCTGGAGATATGGACGTTCGGCAAGGGGCTCGTCGACTGGAGGAAGCCTGGAAAGGCCAGTGTCGATAAGGCCGTCGCAATATGCTGCCAGGTTAGGCCCTACCCACGCCTGTAAGCGAATCCATCATGGCAAGGGGGAGGTTGAAAACTTACATGGCCCCCTATTAGGTTTAATCGAGTTGTAGTATCTGCCTTGGTCAATAGCACAATGCCAGTACCTGGTTCCACAGTGAGGCCCAATGCAGTATTCTCGCGAGATTGGCACCTTCGAAGCGGTGTCGATGGGAACGTCGACCAAATACAGGCTTCCGTATGCTGGGAACTCGATTGTTGTTATTTGCTGGAGGTTGCTTGAGATTGCTCGGATGCATCTTGTCTTCTGCTTTATAGACATCGCTGGCCACTTATGACGCAATTGAACGCCCCGCGCATGTTCCGTAATGATATACTCGCTGCCGATGACATTCGCCGGATCATCACTCCAGTCAATGATTTTCGGCATTGGGACAGTGGTATTAGACTGGACTTCCGCGAGGTCAAGCATTAGCGTAACGCGCGCATTTGAATGGCGTTCAGACCTACGATATCTAATAGTAGCTACTTCCGAGTTTGTAGTCAGTCTACGAGGCCCCGCTATGTGAAAGGGGAGCCTCGCGACAACACGCTTTCCATTATTACACGTGAAAATGAAGACTCTGTTGTAACCCCCTTCATGTTTCTCATAGCTTGTTATGGAGGCTGCGCCAGGGCACAGCTGAATGCCTCTCTGGCAGAGCTTATCGAAGTCAAATTCGATGTAGCGCGCCTCACGCTCGAGTTTGTCATTGCGGAGCCATCGGCCAGTGGTGTAATTGTAAGGGTCGAGAGCTGAAGACAGGTAAGCCCAAATGACATGGATTGAAATAGACAGATAAATTGAGGGGTATCTTACGGTCTAATGGTGATAGATCGATTGATGGTTCTGGAGCATGAGTTCCTGTTCCATGATTCGTTGGGGCGTGTGATGTCGACCGTCGTAGTAGAAACCTCGATTTGGCAACGATAGATTTGGTGAAGAAAGAACTGGAGCCATATCTACTGAGACTTGCCGTGCAAAAGAGCCATTGCGATGCGATGCGAATCATGTAATGTCCTGTTGAGTCAGGTGATGGTGCGGTGGGCTCATATTGCAGAATTTGAGACTCAGGCTGGTGCAGGTATTTCATGCGTATTTTATGCATTTGCATAAATTTTTATACAAAGTTTTCTTCTTCTTATATTATATTGATCCTTCCTTACCCTTTACCCTTCGTTCTAAGAGGGATACTACGCAACTCCCACATTGCTCCAGAAACGGAGCAGACCAGAGCTCACATAATCCTAGGGAAGTCATTTTTAGGAATTTATCAAGGTGGAATCGATGCGGAATCAGTAGTACGGCGTGGTCAATAATCCATTCTCGCTATCACGGTCCGAAACACGCTATCGTCTTCGTTTCGATGCCGGCAAAAGGGTCTGTGCGCTGGCCACTAATAGGTGGCGGGTGATGTTTACCGAGAGAAGTCGTTTTTGCTGCCATTGCAAGAGCATTGAGGCAGATGGAAGGTTGTGGTCGGAGATTACATTTGTTATTGAAGCAAGTAGCGTATGTCCGTATACACATATATGGCATCGTACAAGGCAAGCTCATCTAATGCCTTGACACCCATATCCAATCCCATTCCTAGATCGTAAATCATTACCCCCTCACCTCACCCATTGCCTCAGTAAACCTTGTGAAATTTATACAACGGCGCCAACTCCACATCCCTCCGTAATATATAATGCTTAAACGCCCACGGCAGTACCTCAAACACCTGATAGTGCATATGCCGCCGCGTCGGCACCCCAAAGATATAATCCAGCTCCTCGAGCGTCCTTTGCTTCGTCTCCGGCACCCACAAAAAGATCATAATCATGGCAATGACATTGAGCCCTGCGAAAAAGCCTAGCGAGCCTGTCAATCCAAACACGTCTGTCATACGCGGGAACACGACTGTAAGCACGGCCGCCCAGAATAGGTTCGTGGCGACGGAGAGAGACATGCCGACTTCGCGATGAAACAGCGGGAAAGCTTCCGCGGAGTACGTGAAGGGTACTGGTCCCTCGCCAGGGGAGTAGAACGCCGCGAAGAGGTAGATGAAGAAAGTGATGAGGCCGAGGTACGCGCGGCTGTCCTGGGGGAGGTAGAAGCAAAAGCCGCACGCCAACAACGTCCACGCCATATGAGGGAATGTAAAAAGCAGTAGGGCGCGGCGGCCGAATGTATCAATAGTGCGGACAGCGGGCCAAGCGAATGCGAAATTGATGAAGCCGAAGCCCCAGGAGGCGAGAAGCGCAGTGGAGGTGCTGGTGTGCGCTTTCTTGTACAGTGACGAGGAGTAGAAGGCCATGATATTGATACCACACATTTGCTGGGCGATCATTACGACGAAGGTGGCGAGCGTGGCGCGGCGGACTCGTGCGATGGTGAAGAGTTGTGTGAAGCGCGTGAAGAAGCGGCCCCGGTTGGAGTGGATCTTTTTGCCTTCGGAGCTTTGTACGGTTTGGATGTCGCCGTCGCCGAGCATCATTTCTTCGAGACGAACTTGGGCGTGGATGTAGTAGAGGTCGCGCGCTGCTTGGAGTTTTGTGGCGCGAAGGCGGCATAGGGATTTGAAGGCTTCCTCGTAACGGTTTTTCTTGATGTACCAGCGCGGAGATTCTGAGGGCTGTCAGCTTCAATTGCGACGAAGATGACGATGGGGAAGGTACCTGGACAGAAGAAGATGCCGAGTATCAGGGGCACTGCTGGGATGCAGGCTGAGCCGAGCTGCAGCCGCCACGCGATGTTTCCGATCTGGTATAATGCGAGATTCGCGGAGAAGCCCCTACAGATATCGTAAGCCGCATTCTCGTGGTCGTGCTTCAGACTCTTACATCAAGATCCCGAACGCTACCCAAATCTGCCACCCCATGACTAATGATCCACGGATAGTCGCTGGTGAGTTTTCGGCGGCGAAGACTGGAATTGTCGAGGCTTTGGTCCCCATCCCGATCCCGAGCATGCATCGACACGCGAATAATTCTCTCCAATTCCGAGTGTACGCGGAGCCGATGACGGAGCCGAAACAAAATATGGCGGCGATGAAAATGGTTCCCCGTCGACCGAGTTTGTGATTCAAAGGGTGGGAGAGCCAGCATCCAAATAGAGAGGCGGCAAAGTATGGGGCAGCGTTCACAAGTCCCAGTATCCAAACATCATTAGGTCGTTCGTCAGGCAGAAGACCAAATTCTCTAGGCCAGTCGAGGTTTGCGCCATTGGTGCCAGTCTGATCCCAACCTTGGACGGTAGCGCCAACACAACATATTATGATTGTGATATACAGCGCAGTCGGCTGTCTGAATCTGTGGTGGAGCTCATTGTGAAGAGCTTGTCGTTCTTCGGGGGTAATGCCTCGTACTACCTCGAAGCTTCTTGGGTCCTTCGCGATTTCGGCGCCCTTCTTCAAGAGGTCAAGGTGCTCCTCGAGTTTCTTTTGGCGTGCGAATTCTTTGACATCGCGTCGAAGTCGTTCCGGTGTGAGATGACCTAAGGGGTTGTCGATGCTATGTAAAATGAGTCAGATGCGACAAGGTCTAGTTGCGACTCCGGCTACATACACAGCTTCAGGATTGTGGTTGATGTCGACATGATCTCGACTGAGCTCGAGATCTTTGGTACTGGTCTGGAGTCACGTGAGTCTTTGTACCACCGATAATAAGGCCTGGTACTCACGTATATCCGAGTCGTCAGACCGAATGACGATTTTCTTGAATCTTCAGAGGTCGAGTACTCA